CGGGGGGCTGGGGGGGGTGGGGCACAGCTGTGACCTGACCCACTCGTGTCCCATCAAGTGTCCCCCCCCGGGGCTGGGTCCTGCAGGCGGCGGAAGACGGCGGGGAAAATCCGGCGGCCACCACGCTGAACCTTGCGGCCCTCCTCCGTGCAGGTGCCCAGCCGGGCCACGATGGGGTCGGCACCCTGGGGGCGGGGGGGCCCCGTGAGCTCCCAGCGAGCTCCCAGGGTCGTGTCCCCCCCCCCCCCGCCCCCCCCCCACTCACCAGCTGGGCCAGCGGCACCTCCTCGAAGAGTGGGTGCTCCCCGAAATGCTTCACCATCCACTCGTGGACCTCCTCCACATCCGTCACTGTGTACACCAGCCCCTGGGGACAACCCCAGTGTCACCGAAGTGGGGGGGGGGGGGGGTCCCAGTGTCCCCAGTGCCCCCCCTGCCCCCCAGTAGCAGGGCTGGGTCCGGTCCCCCTGCCATCCCTGGGGAATCCGGTGCTTCGCACTGTGTCCCCAAGGTGGGGAAATTCAGATGGAGGGGGGGGGTGGGAGAGGGATGGGGGGCACGAGGAGGGGTGGGGACATTGGGGGGGGGGGGGGGTCAGGGGGGGGGCCCGGCGCTCACCCCGGGGCGCAGGACATAGCCGTACTCAGCCAGCAGCGTGGGGCTGATGATTCGCCACTTGTGCTTGGTGCGCTTGAAGTGGGGGTCAGGGAAGAGGAAGAACATCTTGCTGAGCTGGGGGGGGACACAAAAATATTGGGGGGGGGTGGGGTGTCAGCACCCCGCTCGGCACCAACACCCCCCCACTGGCACTGGGGAGGGGACAGGGGCGTGTGGGAGGGGGGGACGGTGAGGGCGGTGCTGGCTGCTGCCACCCAGGGGTGTGGGGGACGGCGGGGGCGTCCCCGGGGGGCTCGGGGGTCCCCACCTGAGCTTTGTGGAAGAAGTGGGGCAGGTGTTTCATGGCGTTGGCGCGCAGGCAGGCGACGTTGCCGAAGCGGCCGGGCTGGGCCGCCCGCAGCGCCCGGATCCGCTCCCCGGCGAAGGCGGCCACCTTCACCCGCAGCTCCAGCCCCAGCACCAGCGTGTGGGGGAACAGCGGGGACAGCTCCACTGCGGGGACAGGGACAGGGATAGGGGGGGACGGGGGGACAGGGATGGGGGGGGACGGGGGGACAGCTCCACTGCGCGGACAGGGACAGGGATAGGGGGGGACAGGGACGGTGGGGACAGCTCCACTGCGGGGACAGGGACAGGGATAGGGGGACGGGGGGACAGGGATAGGGGGGGACAGGGGGACAGCTCCGGGGGGGGACGGGGGGACAGCTCCACTGCGGGGACAGGGACAGGGATAGGGGGGGACGGGGGGACAGCTCCGGGGGGGACGGGGGGACAGCTCCGGGGGGGACGGGGGGACAGCTCCACTGCGGGGACAGGGACAGCTCCAGGGGGGCAGGGGGACAGGGATAGGGGGGGACAGGGGACAGCTCCAGGGGGGACAGGGGGACAGCTCCAGGGGGGACGGGGACAGGGATAGGGGGGGACAGGGGGACAGCTCCACTGCGGGGACGGGGACAGCTCCAGGGGGGACAGGGGACAGCTCCAGGGGGGGACAGGGACGGGGGGTTCAGGGACGGGGGGGACAGGGATGGGGGGGACAGGGACGGGGGGGACAGCTCCACTGCAGGGACAGGGACAGCTCCAGGGGGGACGGGGGGACAGGGATAGGGGGGCAGGGGGACAGGGATAGGGGGGGACGGGGGGACAGCTCCGGGGGGGACAGGGGGACAGCTCCAGGGGGGGACGGGGACAGGGATAGGGGGGGACAGGGACAGCTCCAGGGGGGACGGGGGGACAGGGATAGGGGGGGACAGGGGGACAGCTCCGGGGGGGGATGGGGGGGATGACAGGGACGGGGGGGACAGCTCCACTGCGGGCGGGGACAGCTCCACTGCGGGGATGGGGACAGAGATGGGGACGGGGGGGACAGGGACAGCTCCACGGGGGACGGGGACAACTCCAGAGTGGATGGGGACAGTGGCAGGGACAGGTCCCCGGGGGACAGACAGACACACCCCCTGTCTCCGCTGGGGGGGCAGCGGGGAGCCCCCCCCACCTGCTAGCCCCCTCCTTGCCCTCCTCACCCAGCAACCCGCCCCGTGCCCCCCAGTCCCACCCCCCAGCTCCCCACCACAGCCACAGCCGCCCCCGGCCCCTCCCCGGCCCCGCCTGCCCCACGGTGTCCCCACCCAGACGGTGCCCTCCCCCAGCCCCCCCCACCCCGCTCACCCCCCCCCGGCACCCCCGGCGCCCCCCCGCTCACCCAGCAGCCCTCCGTAGCCGCAGCCCACGTCGGCGAATTCCACGCGGGGGGGCGGCTGCCCGGGGGGGGCGGCGGGAGGGAAGAAAGCCGGGAAGAGCGGGGCCCAGTCCATGTCCTGCGGCCTGGCGGGGCTGTGGGACCGCCGTCACGCGTGGGCGGGGGGGCCGGGGGGGGGGGGGGGGGGAGTCGGGCCGACCCCCGGCAGCACCAAACGGCGCTGAGGGGGGAACGGGGCGGGGAGGCCTCACTCACTAGCGCAGCGTGTGGTCGGCCAGCGGGTTGGCGTGTGCCCGCTGCCGGTAAAAGCGCTTCTGCGGCGGCGGCTGCGGCCCCGGCCCCGGCCCCGGCCCCGGCCCCGGCCCCGGCCCCGGCCCCGGCCCCGGCCCCGGCCCCGGCCCCGGCCCCGGCCCCCGCTCCCGCTCCCGCTCCCGCTCCGCCATGGCGGACCCGGCCGCGGCGCGCGGGCCGGGCGGCGCCCACTGACGTCACTGCGTGTCGCCCTCAATGCGCGTCACCGCCGCACCTGCCCGGTGTCCCCAAGTGCCCCCCAGCCCCCCCAGTGCCCACCCCACTGCCCGGCCCACTGCCCCCCAGTGCCCCCACTGCCCCCCAGCGACCCCCAGCGCCCCCAGTCCCCACCCTACCTCTCCCAGCCCTTCCCAGAGCCAGGCCCAGTGCCCCCATTACCCCAGGGACTTTATGCTGCCCCAGTGCCCCCCAGTACTGTTCAGTGCCCCGGGGTCCTCCTGTTACTCCAGTGCCTCCAGTGTCCCCCAGTAGCCCCCCATTGCTGCCCAGTGCCCCAGGGACCCCACACTGTCCCAGTGTCCCCCAGTAGCCCCCCATTGCTGCCCAGTGCCCCAGGGACCCCACACTGTCCCAGTGTCCCCCAGTAGCCCCCCATTGCTCCCCAGGGACCCCACACTGTCCCAGTGCGCCCCTGTGCCTGCCAGTGCGCCCAACCCCCGCAGTGTCCCCCACCCCCTCAAATGCCCTGCGGGATCCCCAGTGCCCCCCAGCGCTCCCCAGCACCCCAGTTCCCCTGCACTGACCCAACGCCCCCCCCGTCCCCCAGCCCCCCCCAGTCCCTCCCAGTGCCCCCAGTCCCCCGGCACTGGGCCCTTCCCGGCACGGGGGTGGTTGGGGAATTTGGGCTGTGGTGAAGCCGGGGGTGATTTCTGAGAAAGCTCCGGGGGGGGGGGGGGGGAGGTTGGGCCAAAGGGGGGCCCAGCAGGGGGCAGGGGCGGGGGGGGGGGGTGGGGGGTGGGGTGGGGGGAGGTTGTGTTGAGCAACACGGGGCTGGATCCGTCCGTCTGTCCCATCTGTCTGTCCTTCCAGGAACGGAGCCTGCGGGTGACTCAGGGAGGGAAGTCACGGGGCTGTGCTGGGCAGAGGGGGGGGACAGGGACCAACACCCCCCCCCCGGGGTGCCCTGACCCCCCCCCCCCAGCCCCCTGGGGACACCGTGTCTCATGTGTGTCTTGTGTGTGTGTCCCCCCCCCCAAACATTAACCCAGTGACGTGCAGCGGTGACGTAGGTGACCGGGGGGGTCCCGGGTGGGTGGCCCAGGGCAGGTTGTTCATTAGCCTCATGAGCCCCCCCAGGGGGTCAACCCCCCCCGCCCCAGTTATTGTTTATCTGGGTTATCCCAGCTCAGCCGGCACCAGGCTGTGCTGGCGTTGCAGGGGGTGGCACTGGGAGGGGATGAATCTCGTGTGTGTCCCCCCCACCCCCCAGAGAGCTGGGGACTCTCCCAGTGCCGTGACACCACGGCCGGGGATGGGAGATGGGGACGGGGACACTGGGGTCAAGGTCACCAGGGTCAAGGCCACCATGATCGGGGACAATGAGGGTGGGGATGCTGGGACCAAGGTCAGCAGGGACTGGGACACCATGGCCAAGGCCACTGGGACTGGGGACTCCAGGGCTGGGGTCCAGGCCCCTCCCAGGGGCCAGGGCTGTGGGGCCACTGGTGGTGATGGGACAGGGACAGGAGCAGGAGGGCATGGGGGATGGCACCGGGATGAAACCCCGGGATGGGGGCTGGTGGGCTCTGACTGGGATGGGGTTGGGGATGGGACTGGGCTGGCTGGGAGCAGGGTGGCGCAGAGGACAGGACCAGGGGAGGGTGGGGACAGGAGAGGGGCTGGGACCAGCAGAGTGGGACCAGGACTGTCCTGGGGACATCGGGAACGGAGCAGGACACACTGGGCGGGATAGGGGACACCACTGGGATGGGCAGGAGGCACTGGGGACTGGCCTTGTGACAGGGGGGATGGAGCAGGGGACACTGGGGTGGGGCTGAGGGCACCTCAGTGACCTCTGGGGACCCCAGGGATGGATCAGGGGATACTGGGAGAGGAGAGGGGACAGCAGGGGAGGGCAGGGGACACTGGAAGGGGACGGGGGGTACTGGGAGAGGAGACACTGTGAGGGGAGAGGGGACACTGGGAGGGGAGAAGGGAGACTAGGAGAGGACAGGGAGCAGTGGGAGGGGAGAGGGGCACTGGGAGGGGAGAAGGGAGACTGTGAGGGGAGAGGGGCACTGGGAGGGGAGAGGGGAGACTGGGAGGGGAGAAGGGAGACTGGGAGAGGACAGGGAGCAGTGGGAGGGGAGAGGGGCACTGGGAGGGGAGAGGGGCACTGGGAGGGGAGAGGGGACACGGGACCAGCCTGGGGTCACCTGTACGAGCCCGAAGCGGGCGCCGTGGGCGGAGCTCCAGGCCCCGCCCCTCCAGGGGGCGGGGAGATACCGGCTCGGACCAATCCCGAGGGCGCGCTCGGCTCGGCCCCGCCCCTCCGCCGCGATGGCTGCGCCCGGTTGCCACGTGGGCGCCGGGGCCCGGCGGGAGGCGGCGGGGGAAGCGGAAAGGGAAGCGGAAGCGGAAAGGGAAGCGGAAAGGGAAGCGGAAGCGGCGGGGGTCGGGGCGCTGCGCTCCGTGTTCCCCCGCGACCCCGCGCTCTTCGCCGACGCGTTCCCGGTGCGGCGGCGGTACCGGCTGGGCCGGCGCGTCCTCCGCATCGCGCAGCACCACGGGCGGCTGGGGGCGGCCGCCTCCGTCTGGGAGGCGGTGAGGGGGGGCGGCGGTGAGGGGGCACCCCGAGAGAACGGGGGAGATCCGGGGGTGGGCACCAGGGGGTGGGTGGAGGGGTCCCGGGGCATGGGGGGGCACTGGGGCATGGGGAGAGGGAGACCCTGAGAAGATGGGGGGCACTGCTGGGGGGGCACTGAGGGATGGGGAGAGGGAGACCCTGAGAAGATGGGGGGCACTGCTGGGGGGGCACTGAGGGATGGGGAGAGGGAGACCCTGAGAAGATGGGGGGCACTGGGGGATGGGGAGAGGGACACCCTGAGAAGATGGGGGGCACTGCGGGGGGGGCACTGAGGGATGGGGAGAGGGAGACCCTGAGAAGATGGGGAGCACGGGGGGGGGTACTAGGGGGATTCTGGGGGATCCTGGGAGGTGGGGAGGCTCCGTGGAGGTGGGGGGATCCCTAAGGGTCCCCCGGCAATGGGCGGAGGGGGGGCAGCCCCCCCCAGTGCCCCAAGCAGTGTGGTGCCAGGGAGGGGCTGTCCCCCAGCCCCCCCCCTCCGTGTCCCCCCCCAGGCCCTGTCCCTGTGCCGGTACCTGGAGGAGCAGCACTTCGATTTTCGGGGCCGGACGGTGATTGAGCTGGGCGCCGGCACTGGCATTGTTGGCATCCTCGCTGCCTTGCTGGGTGCGCACTGGGGCTGGGGGGACACCCATGGGCTGGGGGAAGGCACCCATGGGGCTGGGGGAGGGGGGGGAGCACCCACCCCCCTCCAAACTCCTCTCCCCATTCCCCTACCCAGCATGGAACTGGAAACGTGGCATGGTGCGAGCAGCCCTGGCAGTTATCGGAACCTGGGGGAGTTTTGGGGGGGTGGTAGAGGGGGGAGTGACCCTCCCTCTGAGCCCCCCCCTCTTTAGGAGGGGATGTCACCATCACGGACCAACCGGCGGCGTTAGAACAAATCTGGGAAAACGTCCGGCTGAACTTCCCGCTGTCAACAGCCGCTCGGCCGCGGGTGCGAGCGCTGGTCTGGGGCCAGGACGAAGGGTCCTTTCCTGGGGGGTATGAGGTGGTTTTGGGGTCTGACATCGTGTACCACCCCCCTTCCTTCCCCCACCTCCTGGGGACCCTGCGGCACCTCTGTGGCCCCCGGTCCCTTGCCCTCCTCTGTGCCAAGATGCGGGGGGAAGAAAGTGGCGCCCGCCGCTTCTTCCAGCAGATGTTACCGGAGTATTTTCGGATCCAGCTGCTGCGACGGGAGCCAGAGGAGGAGATCGAGATCTATAGGCTGACCTGTAGGGGTGGGGGTGACCCTATAGAAGAGGGAGGGGGCACCCCCGACCCCGGTGTCACTCAGGGAGGGGCTGTCCCTGCACTGGGGGTGCCCTGAGGGGGGATTAAATGGTGACGAGGGGCCTCGGCTCACCTGGCTGTGTCTCATTTTGGGGGGGGGGGCTGTTGGGTTTGGGGGGAGTCAATGCGGGGGGGTGTTGGGTGCTGGGAGGCTGTGGCCAAAGCAGGGCGGGGGGGGCTCTACCAGGTTCTGGGGGTGCTCTGAGGGCCCTGGAGGGTCTGCTCAGTGCTGGGTGGAGCTCTATAGGGTCTGGCTGGGGGGTCTGTAGGGCTGAGGAGAGCCGGCCAAGGTCAGGAGAGTTCTGGAGGGTCCTGGCCGGCTTATGAGGGGCTCTGTAAGGGTTGGAGGGGGGCAGTCAAGGCCAGGGGACTCTATAGGGCCCAGAGGAGCTATGTAAAGACTCGAGGGTTTCTATAGCAGACTGGTGGGATGTCTGCAGGGCACTGGGAGGAGCTGGGCAGGGCCGAGGGGGCTGGGGGAGGGCAGGAGGGGCTCTAGGACCCGGGAGGGCTCTCCACGACGGGCCCGCCCCCTCCCCGGCCAATGGCGCGGCTCCGTCGCGCCCGGTGCGGCGTCACGAGCGCGCCAGCCAATCGGTGGGCGGGGGTGCCGCCGCCAGGCGCATGCGCGCGGAGCACGCCCGGGTCGCCGTGACCGGGAGAGCGGCGCTGTGACGTCACTGGGACGCGCCGCGGCCAGCGCCGGGATGCGGCGGGCGGCGCTGAGCGCGGTCGGTGGGGCGGCGGCGGCGGCGGTGAGCGGCGGGGACCCTCCGAGAGACTCCCCCCCCCGGAACCCCCCTGACCCCCCCGGGACCCCCCCCGTGGTCCTCTTTCCCCTCTGGACCCCCCCCGGGGCGCCCCCCGGAATCCCCCCCCGGGCTCCCCTTTCTTCCCCGGGACCCCCCCGGGGCTCCTCCCCGCACACACCGAGGTCCTGCCGGGCTCCTCCCCCGCCAACCGGGCCCTTCCCGAGAACACGCCCCCCCCCCCCCCGCCCCGGGACCTCTCCGCCACCGCCCCGCGTCCCCCCGGACTCCCCGGGGGGGGTCCCAGCTCACGCCGTTCTCCTGCAGACCCCCCCGGGCCGGTTTTTCCGCGCCGCACCTCCGGTGCTGGCGGCCGACAAGGAATCGCTGCTGCAGCTGCGGCGTCGAACGGGGCTGCCGTTCCTGCAGTGCCGGGAAGCGCTGCTGCGCTGCGGGGGGGACCTCGGGCAGGTGGGGGGGCTCAGAGACCCCCGGGGAAATGGGGAGGGGGAAGGACACGAGTGGGAGGAGGGATGGGGAGCTGGCGGGGGGGGGGTGCAGATAGAGGAATCAGGAGGGAGCTGGGGGGGGGACGGGAGTTGGGGAACGATGGGCTGGGGGAGCTGGAGGGGGACCAGAAAAGGGGAGTGGGGGGACTGGGGTGGTCCAGGGGAGGGGACAAGGGGGAGTGGGGGGACTGGGGGAACCAAGAAGGGGGAGTGGGGGGACTGGGATCGACCAGGAAGGGGGGAGTGGGACCTGGGGGGTGGGGAGCCAAGCAGGATGGGACCTGGTGTGGAGGGGCTGGAAGGGGACAAGGAAGGAGTTTGGGGGGAGACTGGGGGGGCCAGGAGGGGACAAAGAAGGGGGTTGGGGTGGAGGAAGGAGGAAAGGGGGGGCCTGGGGTGGGGGGCAACCCCGGGGGAGATGGGGCCCTGGGGGTGAGGGGGGTGGTGGTGGGGTGTTTCAGGGGGCAGCTGTGGTGGTGGCACCCCCCCCACCCTGTGCTGTATGCGTGTGTCTGTCCCCCCCGTCCCCCCCCGCAGGCGGAGGCCTGGCTGCAGGAGCAGGCGCAGCAGCAGGGCTGGAGCAAAGCCACCCAAGTGCGGGGCCGGCGGGCGCAGGAGGGGGCTGGTGGGGCTGCTGCGGGAGGGGACAGCGGCTGCCATGGTGGAGGTGGGTGACACGGAGAAGGGGGGGCGGGGTACACACCCACACATGACAGCCCCCCTCCACTCCCTCACTGTTGCTCTTGCAGGTGAACTGCGAGACGGATTTCGTGGCCAGAAATTCGGAATTCCAGCAGCTGGTGGAGCAGGCGGTGCTGGGCACCATGGCTCACTGCCGGGCTGCCCCCGCCCCGCTCACCGCCTGCACCAAGGTGGGGGGGCCAGGGGGAGGAAGGGCGGGGGGTAACCCAGCCCCCCTCAACACCCCCTCCATCCCCCTAAAAAAAAAAAAACCTCTCCTCTTTTTCCCCAGCACCTGCTACAAGCGGATGAGCTGGCCCAGCTCCGGACGGGACCTGGGGGGGCTCTGCTCAGCAACCACATTGCGCTGGCTATAGGTAAGTGCTGGCCCCCCCCCTCCCCCCCCCCAAAAAAAACCTGTTGGGGTGAGAAACCCTTGAGGTGGGGAGAAACTCTCTGAGGGGGCGGGTGTGAGAAAAACCCTGGGTGGTGACCAGAGCCACGTCTTTTCCCTGAGAATGATGACGTGGCTGAGGAAGGGGTTAGGGATGAGCGAAAGGGGGGTGCTGGGGTAGGACACCCCCCCCCCCCCCTGCAACCCCAATGCCGTTTTTTTAGGGAAATTAGGCGAAAACCTGACCTTGCGCCGCGCTGCCTGGCTGAGGGTGCCAGAGGGGGACGGCTACATCGCCACTTACACCCACGGCTGGGGCCCGGCACCTGCGCCGGTGGCCATGGGCGCCTACGGGGCGCTGGTGGCCTGTCGGGTGATGGAGCCCCGGCCCCCCGCAGCGACGCTGGAGGAGGTGGGGCGGAAGGTGGCCCAGCACGTGGTGGGGATGGCACCCACGGCCCTGGGGACCCCCCAGGACGAGCCCCGGGGGGAGGAGGAGGAGACGCGGCTGCTGGCCCAGAGCTTTTTGCTGGAGCCTGACCTCACGGTGGGGCAGTTCCTGGGGGCGCGGGGGGCTCTGACTGTCAGCGATTTCCTCCGCTTCCACTGTGGCGAGGAGACCCCCGCCCCGGGGGGGTAGGGCAAGGGGCTCAGCCCCGCACCTCAGCACCGGACCAGGCCCTGGAAGCTCGGCCCCGGCAGCGGGAGGAGGCGGGGGGACACAGGACTGTGGTGTCCTGACTCCCTGTGCTGGTTTGGGGGGCGGGGCAGGCAGTGTGACTCGGAGGGACAAGGCAGAATAAAGCTGTGGAGGAACCGGCCCCGGGTGTTTTGTGGGGAACGCAGTGGGGGCCTCGTTTCCCCCCCCACCCAGCTCCCCAGGAAGGGAGTGGACCCCCCACCCCCCCAACATCCCACAGGAGCCACCACTTTTTAACTTGTTCTCATGGTAAATCAGTACAAAGAGTCCAAAACCGAGGAGAGGGGGTGCAGAGAAAATGGGTGCGATGGCCGGGGGGGGAGGCTATGTACAGGAACCCACCCGGGGGGGGGGGGGGTCACGCTGGGGCTGTTTTGGGGGACACTTTCTTAGCTGCATTTGGTGGTGACACCATGGGGGGGGATGTCACACCCCTGGGTGCTGCCCAAGGGACCAGCCCCACTCCTGGCCCCCCCTTGGCACTGGGAGGGGGCAAGGGGGGTGGGTGGATGACAGTGGTGGCCCCTGCCTGGGGTGTCACTGGTCTGGGGGGGGGGGGGGGCCACAGGGGGGTCCTGGAGTGCAGGTGGGGTGTCCCCACTCCCCCCCCCCCCCAGCAGACATGCAACTCCCCAGGGATCCTGCACCCCAAGGGGGAGGTGGTGACAGGGATGGGGGGGGGCTGGAGGCCAGGGGGACACCCGCCCCCCCCCCATCCCATCCCTGTGGCTGGGGGTGAGGGCACGGGCAGGAGTGGCTGTGTGGGGGGGTGTTAGGGACAGGAGTGGGGACAAGGGACTGGGGTGGCGGGGGGGGGGGGGGACAGACACACCCACCCGGGGAGGGGGGTACGGGACACACGGGGGATGGTTGTGGGGGGGGGGGGGGGACGACAGGGGATGGGGGTTAAGGGGCAGCGGTGGCCGAGGGATGGGGTCCTGCCCTGCCCCCCCCCCCCCCAGCGCTGCCACCCCCGGGTACCGCGCCCCCTCCCCCCAGCTCCGGTGTCGTCACCGGCCGCCTCCCGGGACAAGTAACCGGGAACAGGCCGGGCTGGAACAGCCTATCCTGGATTACTTGAACCGGGCCGCGGCCGCGCTCCGCTGCCCCCCCGCCCCGTGTCCCCGCGTCACCTCCAGCCGCTCCCTCCGCATCACCTCGCAGCTCCCCGGGGGGGGGGGGGGGGGAGCCGTGCGTGTGTGGGCCCCCCCCCCCCCCAGTGACGGGGGCCCCGTGGGAGGTGACACGGGGCTGGGGGGATAGATTTGGACACACACTGCCCCACACCCACCCACCCACAGCCCCGCACCGGGGATGGCACATCCCCCGCAGAGTCCCCACCCCGGGGGGGTCCTTGTGTGTGTGTCCCCCCCCCGCGGGTCAGCCCCGGCACCTCCCGGTGTGTTGTTGTTCCCCCCCCCCCCCCGGTACCTGCCGTCTCCCGACGACGACGAGCCCGGGGGGGGGGGGAGGGGGGGACCCCGCGGGGGGGGGGGGGGGGGAAGGGGGGGGCAGCGCCGCCCCGCACGCGCCCGCCGGAGGAAACGGGGCCGCGGCGGTTTCCAGGCCCCCCCGGGCGGGGCGTGCCGGGGGCGTGGCAGGGGGCGTGGCTTGAGGCGGGGGCGGGGCGGCCACGTCCGGCGCTTTGTTATTTTGTTACCGACGCCGAGGCGGGGAGGGGTGGGGGGGGGAGCCTTGAAACGGCCGCCGGGCGCTGATTGGGCGGGCGGCGGGCGGGGGCGGAGCCGCGGCGCGGGGATAGGCCGGGCGGCAGGCCGGGGGGCGGGGCCCGGCGGTGTTTACCTCGCAAACATTCCAGGCGCCGCGGGGAGGGGGCGGGGACTCCCGCGGGTGATACGCCCCCGGGGCGTGGCTTCTGTCGGGGAGGGAGGGGCGCGTCCCGCCCCACGAACCCCACGGCGGGACCCACGGCGGGTCCTGGGCAGCGGGACCCCCCCAGCACGGGACCCGGCGCCCCCCCCCGGTTGCCTCGGGGACGCGGGAGCAACTTGGGAAAGGAGATAATTAGCTAATTAGTCGAAAAGCCGCGGCGGAAGGCTGCGTGTCCTCGAGGAGGCTCGGAACGAAGGAGCGCGAGGAAATCCACGGCGTCCCGGCGAGACGCTCCGTGGGCGCGTGAACCTCCCGTCCTGCCCGGTCAGGGCGTCCCGGAGGATTCTCGATGTCCCCCAACCGCGCGAGTCCCGCGCTGCGCCCGTCCACGGGCTGCAAGGGGGGGGGGGGGGGGCGACGGCGACCACCGGCTCGGCTCAAACCGGAGAAATCTTGGCCCCCCCGCGCCCGCGAGGGGCCCGTGCTGGTTTGCGCGGAAGGCAGGCTGAGCTACCCCCGCCCCAAACCGGGGGGGCAGCATCACTGACCGGCCCACGTGAAATCGGGCGTGTTTGTACTCGGGCGCCACCACGAACACGCTGCAGCCCCTCCCCGCGCTGCGCGGGGTTCCTCTGGCGCCCAGGCTCCCACAGCTTTGCTCGCAAACCCGCGCCGGCCTTCTGAACGGTTCTTCTCTTTGGGGAGTTTCCTAAATTACGGTTTTCAGTGAGAGACTTTGGCGACCCGGGGTGGGGGGGGGGGACAAGCTCTCGGCAGCCAGAGGAATCGCGGGGACTCGGCGCGCACCCACCCACCCGAGTTCCTTCGGGGAAGTTCCCCGGTTCCCCGGCCGGGCGGTTTCCGCGGCAGCTCTCTGGCAGGGGGTCCCCACGGGTCGTTGGCCGCGTACAGAGATGTCGTGTCTGAATTAAGTGCGTGTTGTAAAGCTCCTGCCACCGGTACCGGGGGCTGCGGCGCGCGGCTGCGTAACCCGGACGGTCACTCCTACAGTCCCGGTTTTGGTTTGGGTGTTTGCGGCGATTCTGAGACGTTCTCTGTGTGTCTGGGACACGTCTGGGGGGGGGTTATCTTGTGGCTTTGGGATTTCCTGTTTACGTTTTTCTCTTTGCTTTGTGATTTCCTACTTGCTCTCTGACACCTTTAAGATCTTGTGAACTGTGAGATTTCGTAATAATGGGAAATAAGCAGGCTGCTGAAGGGAGAGCTCCCCCTTAGGTTGTATACTGAAACACTGGCATAAGTTTGGGGGTGACCCCTTGACACAGAGGAAATCAGTGGAATATTGTAATAATCAGTGGCTGCTTCATGTTCTGGACGATCAGGGAAAGTGGCTGAAAGATAGAACACTAAATTCTAATGCAATATTGCAGTTAATGTTCTTTGTCAGCGGTAAGGAAAATGGGATGAGGGACCATATGTAGACCTTTTCTTTACACTCAGGGATGATTATGAGGCTGGGAGGGGCTGTGGCTTAATGATTCGAGATAGTAATGTTGTAGCATTAGAGGCAGAAAATAAACCACTTAAACGTTGTTGTTCAGCATGTAGCATCGGTAGGCGATGCAAAAAATATAAAGAGAAATGGGAAGAAGAAGAGGAGGGTGCTGAAATGTCGGTTGGACTGAGAAGGAGCCATAGAGCGAGGGAGAATGAGCAGGAAGGGGCTGCACAGGATGGAAGGGGGGCGAGGGGGGCAGGGAGCGGGGAATGGTGATACGGATACAGCTGGTGGGGGAGAAGTTTTCGGGCCGGTGGCGGGTGGGACTAGAGGGAGAGATGTTGGGGAGCTGCAAGCCCCTCTCAGACAGGCAGTAGGACCAGACGGGCCCACTCGGGGCAGGGTGCTGTCTTCAGTGTCAGATTTAAGAGCTTGTCAGGATATGGCAGGTGTATTTTGGGGAGACCCATAACGAGCAGTGAAGGTTATGGAAACCGGAGTTGAAAATTATGATCTGGATTGGAAGGGTTGGCAAGTTATCTTAAACAACTTAGGGTCTTATGAGGAAAGAAGAATTATTCTGGCTAATGCTAAAGAGGTGACAGAGAGCGTGTGTGTTCCAGCTGCACAAGCAGGACGAATAGAGGATCATTTTCCGCCTAACAACCCGAACTGGAATTCTGATACTCCTGCTCAAAGGTTATTACTGACTGAATACCAACGATTGGTTTTGTATGGTATTTGGAGTGTTATTCCAAAGTCAAAGAATTGGTCTAAATTGTATCAAGTCATTCAAGGAAAGAATGAGGATCCCTCTTCTTTCCTTGAAAGAGTAATGGAAGTGGCAAGAAAATAGACCAATTTAGTTCCAGAAGATGAGGCAGACGCTGTCTCGTTGGTTCACGGCTTTACGAGACAATCTAGTGCAGATACAAAGCGAGTTACAGAAGTTAGAAGGAGCAGATACCTGCTCGCTGGATAAAATACTGGAACATGCTTGGAAAGTAGATGACAATAGAGAAAAAGTGGAGGAAGAAAAACAGAGAAAAAAAAAAAACCCTTAGAGATAACGAGATACTGGCAGCTTCTATAGCCCAGGGAAGCGGTAGGGCTCGAGGACAGGGCTGTCGAGGCCCCGGGGAGAGCGACTTCCCGGTAGAACATCAAGGGCTGGACCATCACTGGAAAACGATCGGTGTGCTTTCTGCAAAGAGGAGGGACACTGGAAGAAGGAATGCTCCCAGGTGAATCAGTGGGGCTTTGAGGGAATGCCGAGGCAGGTGGTTAATGGTGATGTTAGATTCAGACTGAAGGGGACCGGGGGAAGAATCGGAACCCTCCCCCAACAGAACTCCTGGTTATAGTGAGGCTGGAGAATGAGAAAATAAAGTTTCTAGTAGATATAGGAGCTACTTGTTCAGTATTGAATGCATGGAAAGGTAATGTAAGTCATCAGAGTACGTCAGTTTTTGGTGCCACAGGGCAAAGGGAAAGCTGGCCGTTCTTCTAGCCCCCGAAGTTTTGATTTGAGAAAAGGGTGTTAACCCATCAATTCCTCTATAGACCAGATTTTGCCCCATGCTGCTGTTAGGACGGGATATATTAAGCAAATTGAATGCACAAATCATTTTTGAAAAAGGGAAAATCCAAATCCATATTCCTGAAAATAAAGCCTTGGATGCCCAAGTCTGGATGTTGCAGAAGGAAGTCGAATTACAGGAGAAACCAGAAGTTGAAAACGCTGTAACGCCTCTTGTGTGGGCTCCAGGAACACCAGAACGATCCCGAGCAGCCAAACCGGTAATCATCCAACCGAAACCAGGCACCAGATCCGTAAGGTGCAAGCAGTGCCCGACTAAATTAGAGGCAATAAAAGGATTAGAACCAGTAATTGAACAGTTTGTAAACTTTGGGTTACCAAGAGAATGTCAATCAAAATACAACGCCCTGATATTGCCAGTTAAAAAGCCACATTCAGAAGAATGTAGGCTGATTCGGGACCTAAGAGCTATAAATCAAATTGTATAGGATGTTCACCCGGTAGTGGTGAACCCGTATACTCTCCTGAGCACCCTGAAACAAACCAATAAATGGCTTATGGTAGTAAATCTGAAAGATGCGTTCTTCTGCCTCCCGTTAGCAGCTGAGAGTCAGGAACTGTTCACTTTTGAATGGGAGAGTCCTAGAATTGGCAGGAAAACTCGATTATGTTGGACAGTATTACCACAAGGATTTAAGGATATCCCTGCAATGTTGGGGAATCAGTTGGCAAAAGGAGACTGGCAAAAGATGCAGGGAAACACGTCACCTTGCTGCGGGACGTAGGTGACATCCCGCCAGTGACAAGTACCCAGGAGGACACTGTACAAATGGCAATAAACCTGCTAAATTTTCTGGGTCTGGCAGGGTACCAGGTGCCCTACAAAAAGGTGCAAATTGCCTGGCAAGAAGTAACTTATTTAAGATTGACAATGTCTGGAGGCCAGCGGAGCCTGGGAACTGAAAGGAAGGAAGCGATTTGTCAAATCCCAGCAGCCAGAGGTAATCAAGAGTTTAGAGCGTTTCTCGGAACGGCCGGGCGGTGTCACCTGTGGATAATGAATTTTGGACTCAGAGCCGAGCCCTTACATGAAGCTGTCCAAGGGGAAGGGAACCGCCTCGTCTGGACTCGGGAATGCATTTGTAAAACTGAAACGGACTTTGCTGGGTGCTCCAGCTTTAAGCCTCTCAAGTTTAGAAAAAAACATCTGAACTGTTTGTACACCAAAGGCTGCATATGGCTTTGGGAGTGTTGACTCGAAAATGAGGGTCACGGGAAAGGCCTGTGGGATGCTTCCTGAAACAACCAGATAATGTCAGCAAAGGGTGGCCAGTGTGTCCCTGAGCAGTGACAGCCACAGACTTGTTGATCCAGGAAGCGCAGAATTTCACACCTGGACAAAACCTGGTGGTATTTGTGCTCTGCGCAGTTACAGCTGCCCTAGAGCAAAAAGGAGGACAGTGGCTGTCACCAAGCTGGATGGTGAAATATCAAGCTGTTCTTTTGGAGCAAGATGATGTGGGGCTGAAAGCAACTGCGATTCTGAATCCGGCGACTTTTCTAACTGCTGATCCTGAGGGAGGAGAATTAACTCACGACTGTTGGCAAACAGTGGAGCAGACGTACTCCGGTAGAGCTGATCTGACAGATATGCCTGTGGAAAACGCAGGCTGGGACTTTCTCGTGGATGGTAGTGGCTTTATGCCGGAGGGAATGTGAAAAGCAGAATATGCAGTGGTTACTGTAAAAGGAGTAATCGAGGCCAAAGCTCTGCCATCTAATACATCGGCCCAGAACGCGGAGCTCATGGACTTACTAAGGGCCCTGGAACTGTCAGAAGACAAAATTGCTAATATATGGACGGATTAAAAATTTGCCTCTGGGGTAGTAGATGCTCATGGAGCCATCTGGAAGGAAAGGAGACTCGTCACTTCTCAAGCCTCCCCAGTTAAATACGGCCCAACTATCCAGCAATTATTACAGTCAATTAATCTACCTAAGTTGGTGGCAGTCATGCATTGTAAGGCACATCGGTTCGGAAATAACCCGGTACACGTTGGAAACCGATTGGCAGATAAAGCTCCCAAAGAAGCAGCTGAAAGTCAAATATTGTTAGTTCCACTGGAAAGAGTTTGGGTGTTGGGGCCCCAAAGTCCACAGGATACCCCAGAAGATGATCGACTGGCTAATGTCCTAAAAGCAGATGAGACCCCGGCTGGGTGCCGGGTGACTCCTTCCCCTCAGGTGATAGTTACTCAGGAAATTGTGTGTGAATTGGCTAAGACAGCACCAGGAAAGTCACTGGGGCATTGAAACAGTGATGGAGGCACTGAAATCACAAGTACTGAGTGGGCCAATGACTGGAATAATCAAAAGCATAGTGGAGAAATGTGAATTATGCTTGAAGAACAATCCACACATACCCCAAAGATCTTTGCCAGGAGTAATAACAAGAGGAAATAGTTCTGGAGACGATTGGCAAATAGACTTTTCCAAATTACTGCAGCAAAATGGGTATCGGTATCTTATAGTAACAACAGACACTTTCTCAGGCTAGCCGGACGCTTTCCCTTGTCACACCGACAAGTCAAAAGAAGCAGCAAAGATACCAATTCAAAAAACAGCACCAAGATTCGGGGTGCCTGTAGGACCATCTTCAGCTAGGGTCCCACGCTTCAGAGCAGCACCTGTCCCGAGTTTAGCTCAGGCATTAGGGATAAGATGGGATCTCCACACCCCATGGAGACCCCAATCGAGCGGAAGGGTAGAGAGAATGAATCAAAGTTTAAAGAGTCAGATGAGTAAAATTTGCCAGGAAGCTCAAAGAAAATGGCCAGGTGCTTTACCTGGAGCCTTGTTAAGGGCGCGTATCCAGCCCAAGACCGAAAACCAGGTTAGCCCCTTTGAAATCACGTACAGTAAACCTTATCAGGTGACAGAAACAGGAATCAGTGCTGAGAACGTAGGAAGGCATTACTTGAAATAATATCTTACCTCTCTAGGAAAAGTTCTCTCCTCTCTCCACAGCTATATCCCTGGGGGTGCACCACTCTCCTTGGCTGTCCCTGTGCATCAATACCGACCTGGGGGTTGGGTATATCTGGAGACGTGGGCAGACAAACCACTGAAGGAGAGGTGGAAACCTTTCCAGATCTTACTCACGGCCTACACAGCCGTCAAGCTTGAAGGAATTACCCCAAGGATTCATCATCCCAGGATTGAGCCAGCCAGGTCGACAGGATGGGCTGTCGAGCAAGGACACTTACAGTTAACTTGGGAGGCGTGAACTACTGGATGATCCTCTTGATAATGAACTATGGGAGTGTGAGGGCAGAAAGATCAGGTGGGAATGATGGGAAAAACTTAATTCTAGCATTTTTGCATCTGCGGAACCTATGGGGACAAAACGTGCGCCTGCAAGTAGTACAGCAAATAACGGGGGGTATCACTAAGTCAGACTGTCGGGTGTGCACTCGTTTTCCTGAGCATTCTGGAGAAGGAATACCCATTTTGGGTGTACCAATTCCCTTTAATACACCATGGAATAATTTGTAGGTAGAACCAGAATCTCCCAGAAGGGAAGAGACTGATCTGCAGGAATGGGAGGTTACGAACTTCCAATCAGCAGATGTTCAGTGTGTGACTACAAACACGACTTTACGGGTTGGCAGCACGTCAGTTGGACATTATCCTTACTGGGCTTGGGCCACGCAGTTACGGACAGGAAAAGTAGTGTTGGGATACTGGAACGTGCCAGGAGGAAAAGGATGGTACTGGGATGTGTGGAAATAGGGCGAGAAAGGCTCTGCCCCGAACTGGGAAAGGACTTGCCCTTGAGGTGCTTCAGTACTTTGTGTAACAATTACTGAAAAGCTCTACGAGGGTTCCTGCGTTAGATCCCACACGAGAAGGTTTAAAAGAAGCAATAACCCCTTAGAGGAAAGGCCTATCGACTTCCTCTCCTTTGCGAGGTGGTTTCTGCCATGGTTGGGAGTTCGTGAGTTAGAAAAAGCGATGGGGGATACTCGGCTGGATTGGGTATTGAAAATAAAACCTTAGATGCTCTCATTGCCCTACAGGCAGTGTCCCAGGTGGGTGAAACGGCCACACAAAGTCGAACGGTTCTCGCCACGCCGCGAGCTGCTCAAGGAGGGGTTTGTACAGGAAGAAATTCCAGTTGCTGTGTACAGGTGGGTCGGTCCCCTGGGACAGCTGCACTCAAGGAGGTTTGGAAGCGTACCCGTGTTCTCCGTCCCATCCAGACTGACGGCGCTTCCTCTGGACCCTCGGAGACAGGGAACTGGCCAACGTCCTGGTTCCCTGATGCGTCAGTGCGGAGCAGAAGGTTGGTGACTGCTGCAATTTTGGTGGCCTTGATAATCTGAGCGTGTGTTTTAATACAGTGCTGAATTAAATACTGTCCTAAGTGCGTAGGCGAGGAAACAAGGGAAACGGGGCTCGAGTGAAGAGTAATTCACATGAGCTGGCAAACTGGGAGCATCTCGACTGTGTACACCCCGCTGGCAGACCGGGAGCACCCCACTAGCAAACTCGGAGTGTGCACCAGCAGACGGGGAGCAGACCGGGAGTGTCCCACGGCCAAACCGGGCGCTGACTGGGGGCGACCTCCTGCCAGACTGGGAGCCCCCCGCCCCCCTCCCCATCACATCCAGGTGCTTTGAGCCACCGCTGTAGTCGGTGCGTTGGATAAAGCTGGTGCCAAGTACGTAGAAACAAAAAGGCTTAATTGGGAAAAGATTTAATCAAAGCAGAAGATTTAATTAAAGGAAAGGCAAGATATGGCATCTAAACCCCCTCTCCATCTAGGGCTCAAAACAAATCAACCAAAATAAGGAGGGGGGGGGGGGGAGGAATAAAAAGCGTGGCACCAGTGGGGCCTACTGACCTTAAACGCTGTTTGAGGATTGGTTTTGGCCTCTGTGAGGGTCCCAACAGCACCTGAAACTTCGTGAAATGCCAGGAAAACGGCTCTGTCCTGTGTGCGCAAACCCTGCCCAGCTTTTACCGGGCAAAAGGCCGGTGCAGGACAGAGCCTGGCAGACAAATTCGGCTTTTTCATTGAAATTCTGGAAGTAGCAGCTTCACTGCTCCCTGTGCAGAGGTAGATACTAGCCCTGGATCGGCTCCAGGCTGAGAAAAATGCCCGTGGGAAGGTGAAGCAGCCGCTGCTTTGGAGTGGGAGATCATCGCATGGAGGGTGGGACGCGGCCAGGCTTTGCGGCACCACCAGCCGTAACGACTCGATGGGTGTAGAGCAGGAGGGGGATCACCCCACTGGCCATGAAACCCGCGTTTCTCACTGGCTTCTCACTGCGGCTTCTCTTATTCCTCCCAAATTGAGTGCATCCCCTCTATAAAATCAGTAGTAATGAAACTCTGCCCCTGCTCAGTGTTCCAAGCTTGGGATTTTCCCTGAGTTAGTTAAAAAAAAAGGATGAGCGTCACACCTGGTTTCTCTACCAACCAGGTAGAGAATAAGCAAGAGAAATTTGAATCAAAATCGGGAAAATACTAACGAATCCCTTCCCAGGTCAGATCAACTACTTGGGGAAAAAAAAAAGGGGAAAAACTTTCGAGGTACTAAAAGCAAGCCCCCAGGACCAGCATCATCCTGGTCTGGACCCCGGATCCTTCCCCATGGACGATGTGAGGCGCTGGCTCTGCGGCTCTCTCGCCGCTCACGGGACCGTCTGATCCTGCTCTCCTCCCTGGCAGAAATCCCGGCCTCGGCTCACCCTCCCCAGCGGCGAGCCTGGCCCTGGGCTCGGCCCGGGTGGTGGAGGAGACTTTTCTGCAGCACAAGGAGGGTTCCCATGCAAACCAGTTCTGTCCGTACGGCCGCGGTGGCCGGAGTCACCTGGTGACCAGCGTGTCTGCGTCGATGTTGTTGAGCAGGAAGAGTTCAGGGTGAGCGGCGAATCCCAGGGGACGCTGGAAGAGGCAAAGGACAGGAGTCAGAGCTGGGGACAGCTGAAGTCGGACAGGGTTTAACAAGCCTGAGCTGAGCCCAGTTTGGCAAAGCCCGAGCTGAGCTCCCCGGCTCCCAGCCCGCTCGTCGGCATGCTTCCACCTGCAGAATCCAAAGCTTTGGGGTTTCTCGCTTATCCACTCTTTGGCAGGCAAACCAAAGCTGCATTTTTCACACGTGAGGAGAACCAGTCAGTGTTTGAGCTCTTCTGAAATCGGGGGGGGGGGGGGGGGGGGGGGGGTGGGTTAGCGGTGCTGGGTCATTGCAAGCGTGTAATTAAGCTGCAGGGAGCGTGGCGGGGCTTGGCGAGGCCGCGTGCGGCTGGCTGGGGAGGGGAGGCAATGCCATGCTCAGATGAAGCCAAGGCAGCAGTCCGGCATCGCCTACAGCATCAGCCTGTGCCACACCTTCGTTAATTAGGGGTTATTAAGCAGACAGAACTTGATGCAGCAAAATATTCCTCCTACTTATTAGTACATTGATCCACTGTATGCGACGTACCCATGGTGATGCCATTCTCTTCTGTAGAGCATCCCCTCTGTTAGTTTGAAATAATTTCTTTCTCCTTTTGAATTAAATTTTGGGTGTAGACAAGCCTTAATTAGCACTAATCGATTACACAGGCTGGTTAATTAAGAGAACATATTGCGGGGTGGTTGTCTGCCTCCGCCCAGAGGTGAAGGCGGCCAGTGAACATCCCTCGGCCGCTGCAGATCAAAGCGCTGGGTTTAACAGAGCGAGACTTGCCGCCAGCGTTCCTTACCAGGCAGAAACAAACCCTAAGGGGCTTGCTTTCTGCCAGAACATCGTGGCAGGCTTACAAGTTACTAAAATAAGAATAAAATACCCCGAGAGAGAGACACGAGGCCCTCGCAGCACCCAGCTCCCTCCCACGGGAGCGGGAAGCTCACGGGTCTCGGAGCCACACCAACTTCCAGCCGCCGGCTCGAGCCAGGAGACGCAGCGAGGCGGCAGCTTCTGCCACCGCCAGCACTTTCCCTGGGGATCTTTAGACCACGAGAGACAACTATCTCATTCTTCCGACCTCCCGCGCTACGAACCCGCTGGGTTAAGGCCAGCTTATCTCTGTTTTAAAGAGACGGGTCCGTGCCCACACTCAGGCTTAGCTGTAGCTAAAGGAAAGGCTCAGGGGAGTAGAAAAGCTGGGAAGATACTTTTTTAAGCGCAGCTGATGGTTTGGCCAAGGTGCAGATAGGAGCAACACACCGCCGGGGGCGGAAAAGCCGAGAAAGAGCCGGGCAGGATGCGTGCGCCGTGTCCTGGATCCCCCCCCAAGAAACCCCGGGGAGGGGGGGAGCACGGCGCGGCGCGCGGTGACCTGCTCCTTCGCTCTCCTGGTGGAGGCCACGGTCCCAGCGGACCCGCTGTGCGCCTGTGGGGAAGCTGGGAGCACGTACAAGAGAGGCTGGAGGGCCTGGACCCCGTGGGGACGGGGAAGGCGCCGGCACGGCACCGCGCACCCCTCCGGGAGCTCGTCCTGCCAGGCTGGCCTGCGCGCGTCGGAGCAGGTGGGGGGTCTCCTTCAGAGCCAGGAATCACTAGAGATTCAGAGCAACCCCCACCCCCCACCCCAAAAAAGACCCAGGAAGCCAAGTTCAAAAAGTATCTGTCTTTTAATCGAAAATGTAGTTTGTACAAACTGGTTCAAAGGCAGATACGGGGGGAAAAAAAAAATAAAATCAGTTTCACGAGGAGCAGAAGCCAGGAATGAGAACTCGATCCGGAGGCTCTGGTGCAGAGCTACTGTCTTAAAAATTATTATTTCAGCAGAGCAGCCACGAGAATCTCCTCTGACACCTCCCAAATCAAAAATCCCAAATCCAGGAAAATGGGAGGGACCGATACAGCGGGATTACAGAGCCCCTCGGCCAAGGCCAGCTGGCCACGAACACGCCTCCGGTTCAACAACCCCCAATTCCCACCTGCAATGCACATGCTAACTTTCTGTTTGGGGAAGTAAGTATAAAGCGTACAAGCATTGCAATACAGGGTTTAAATCCTGCTGGGATTTTTGAACTAATAGTTTGAAAACTAGAAATACACTGTGTTTTACTTCTTGTTCAGCTGGAGGGGGGAGCAAGGGAAGTTCAGCTGGTTTGGTCTTTACCAAGGGATACTGTGAACGATGCTGCCTGTAATTAAAATGGAGTGTTCATGCTCTGCTTTGAGTTTTGTCACCTGCGTCTAAGAAATGTGTCACTGGCATCATGAAGTTCCCCCAAAACACGGGCAGCGAAGGCTAAAATGCTGCTGAGGGCTCCAAACAGGAGAGTGCTGCCCCGACCGTGCCGCTCACCCCCGCTCGAGTTCCATGCGAGCGGCGTGCCACGCCACGCCTGGGGTTTGCTCGTAGGAGGAAAGAAATCACGGGTAAAGCCAACCCCCCAAACTGCACTGCCTGCGGATCGTCTCTCCGGGGCTTTGAATTGCTGCGGGGCTTTTACTGCAGAGCAATTCCCTGCCCGGGCCCAGAGGGCGCGTGGGGAACCGAGGATGGACGGTCGTTCAGGACGCAGGCTGGAATCCAACCCGCCGGCGACCCCGCTCTGGGCAGCCCTGACCGAACGCTCCAAAATAAACCACTGCCGGCTCAGGGAGAGACCCGCGGTGGCTGCTCGGGGGGGGACACGGGTGCAAAGCAGCAGCAGCAGCAGGAGCAGAGCCCGGCAAAGCCGGCGCCGGCCCCGGCACAGCCCGGTCCGGAGCGAGTCGGCGCGGGAGCGAGGAGCAGAGGTTGGTTGGACGCCCCAGACCGCCCGCTCTCAGCCCCGCAGGTCCCCAGAGGCATCTCGGCACCTGGAAAACCTTTGTGGAGCTGTGCCTTAGCCCCGGCCAGCCGCAGCTTCCAGCCGGTCAGGGAAGAGGAACCCCGCGAAGCAAACCCTGCGCTTTACAGCTCCTGACACCCAGTTTGCACGACCGAGTGGTCTAAAAACCCACCTCACCACGTGGGAGGGAACCCCGGCATTCGTCCGACGCTGGAGGAACGCCAGACCACCTTTCCTAACCGCAGAAGCAAAACGGACTGTTCTACCACAATTCGCTACCGTCAGACTTCGGTCGCCTTCAGGCGAAGGCCAATCCCCGGGGGAAACGGGAAGTCGCTAAATGCTGCCGCCCAGGGCAGCGGGGAAGGCTGTGTAGTGGATTTAAAGCAGGGCAAGCAGGATTGGCAAATAAAAACCTGAAGTTGTGTTACAGCGATGACTCCCGTGGAGGAGGGTATTGGCATCCTCTGCAATGTGACATTTTGAGCCATAAACCAGGGATTTTTGAAAACTACAAAGAGCGTTTCCATTAATCACATACATAGGGAATAAACTCACAAAACCATAAATAACCATGAACATGACAACTCGTTTCCTTTGCTGACGACCCGAAATCACGTGCTAGGTGAGCATAAAAAAAAAGACAATACTAATGCTCTGAGGTTTCCTGTCCTTAGGTCATTTTGTCCTCGTGGAAGCTGCGCATCGCAGCCAGCCCCACTCTCAATTACAAGTATTTTCAAGTGAAAAAAAAAAAAAATCTAATCCAGTCAGATCGTGAACAGCAGCCACAATCTGACCGCAGAGGTAGACTCTGGATGTAGTGTCACTGTGTCACACTTAGCCTAGTGTCAGCGGCAGGAGCGCCCTTCAAACAGCGCCCAGAAGGTGCATTTTTAATTTCCTAGCTTATTTTTCTAGATTCTCCAGTTCAGTGCAGAAGCAGCAATTACCTGGGGCTTCAGTGTTTCTGCTACATAGATTAAAACTCTAAGGGATGAGTCTGGTAGCTTTAATGCAAAAACGTAAAGCGGCTGGAGGCAAAGGTTAGCGGGGAAGAGGAGCCGGCCCGCAGCACAGCGCGCCTCCCTCTGCGCCGGGGTAAGTGTCTGGAAAAGAGGCGGCTCCTGTATCGCACCGCTGACGTAGCGCTCCTCCGCGCAAGCATGATGAGAGGTGTTCAGCAAAGAAAACTCCTCGAGTAGTTCAGCAGCAACACGTTTCCCAATATATACATCGGATTTTTTTTGGTTTTTTTTTTTTCCTAACGCACGTATTTCCTGTGCAAACTGCACATACGTTTGTATATGTTCACACAGTAAACCCCAGCAACGCCCTGGCTCTGGCGGCTGCTCGCTGCGCGCGGGCACTGCGCCTACTTGGCGGGGTGGGAAGGTGACTCCTCGGTGAGCAGTGCCCTGGTGACGCTTACCGTTTTCCCGCAGGCCAGGAAGGAGACTCCCAGAGCAATCAGGCACAGCCAGCTCTGCAATTAGAGAAGGTGACGGCGATCAGAAGCGCTGCAGCACCTTTCAGACCCAGACTCGGCTCGTTTGAGTCCTGCTGCGCCTGACGGTCAATCAGCTGCCTGAACTTGAACGAACAGGGGTGTGCGTCGGCGGCGGAGGAGCACCAGGGCTGGGTGAGGGGCGGGGGGGGACTGGCGGGAGGGTCGCGCTCCACGAGCTGCGGACAGCAGCTCGATGGCCAAGTGGAGAGCGGCGATGGGTGGGGCCCCTCGGGGTCTGTGCCAGGACCAGCGTTACTGAACAGCCTTTGCTGGGGACACGGGGGGACCCCGGGCACCGGCAGTGCGCCTGCGGCTGACGGCGAGCGGGGAGGGGCGGCTGACACCCGGGGGAAGGGACCCATCCGGAGGGGCTGCCACCGGCTGGAGAGGAGAGCTCACGTCAACCCCAGGAACTTCAACAAGGCCAAGCGCGAGGTCCTGCAGCTGTGTCAGGGCAACCCCGAGCACGGGAGCAGGCTGGGGGTGGGGGGATGGAGAGCAGCCCCGCGGAGAGGGACTCGGGGGGGTGCAAAACCGCCCGTGAGGCAGCCCCGTGCGCTCGCAGCCCAGAACCCACCCGTGCCCCGGGCTGCAGCCAGAGCCGGGGGGCAGCGGGGCCAGGGGGGGGATTGTCCCCCTCTGCTCCGCTCTGGGGAGACCCCCCTGCAGTGCTGGGGCCAGCTCGGGGGCCCCCAACAGCAGAAGGACCCGGAGCTGCTCGAGCGGGGCCAGAGGAGGCCACGGAGATGCTGGGGGGGCTGGAGCAGCTCCCCTGGGGGGCCGGGCTGAGAGAGTTGGGGGGGTTCAGCCTGGAGAAGAGAAGGCTCCGGGGGGCCCCTGAGAGTGGCCTCCCAGGGCTTAGAGGGGGGACAGGGAAGGTGGGGAGGGACTCTGGGTCAGGGGTGGGGGTGGGACGAGGGGGGACGGTTTTAAGCTGAAAGAGAGTAGGTTTAGGTTATATATAAGGCAGAAATCCTTCCCTGTGCGGGGCGGGAGGCGCTGGCCCAGGGTGCCCAGAGCAGCTGTGGGTGCCCCCTCCCTGGAAGGGTTCAAGGCCAGGTTGGACGGGGCTGGGAGCCCCCTGGGCTGGGGGAAGGGGGCCCTGCCCGGGGCAGGGGGGGCACTGGAGGATCTTCAAGGTCCCTTCCCACCCAAGGCATTCTATGATTCTCTGATCATTCTATGTTTTTACACCTCTGACAATATTCAGGCACAGGCAGAGGAACTGTGCATTACTGCAAAGTCTCTGCCAACCTTTCACCTGCTGTGACATTGAATCGAGGCCTTTTTGGGAACAGTGAACAGGTGAATTGCTAAAGAGATGGCTGAAAGCAGGGGAAAGGCTGTGTGAGTCAGTAGGTGCAGCACAAAACAGATTTCCAAGCAAATCTGTTCGCGAAAGCCTCAACTTCCCCACCTGTTCTGATCCCATGGCTGACTTTAAAGCCTGCAAAACGTGACAATATTAACGCAATGGTGAGAAGATAAACCCGACAGCTTCTCCTGCCCACGAGGAGTCTCAGCTTGAACCAGACTTACCAAATACGCCACAAAGGACAGGTAGATCACACTGAGAACCGCAGCCCCGACGTACAAAGCCACGTGGTTCAGGGACATGACGTAGGCCACCACGAAGTACATGTTAATGCTGCAGATCAGGAGGATCAGCACACCACCGCCGATCTTCCAGAACCTGTGAGCAAAATCAGAGCAAAACAGGGTGAGGCAGGTGGGCCGCTCTTGTGTTTGCAGGAGATGCTCCAGGCCAGGAGGCAAGGAGAGGAATGAAACGCGTGCCTGAGGTGAGCAACACGCCATCTCCCACTCGGAGGCGATGCCCCGCGTACTTACAATCCATTGGCAAAATCATTCATGACACTGGGCAGGCTGGTGAATGTCAGGACAGGGATCAAAGCGAACGGAAGCTGGAATAAGCAAGAAAATGCAGAAGAATAAAGAGTGGAAATTGTTCTGATTATCTCAGCACACATGGACATCTGAAGCTTGCTCACATCTGACAGCATTTCCCCAAAGCTATTGTAAAGTGAGTCAAAGGGACTTCCCCTGGCTGGAAGAAGGAAGCAATTTCAGACCCTGGCTGATCCCCTCCACCTCCCCCCAGTAGATCAAGATTTCCTGACAGTAACTCGCTTTGCTCAGCCGCTCCTGCAGACCCTTAGGCACCAGCAGCTGAAATATTCAGTGCGAGATGTTCGTCTTCAAGACCTGACCCCCAAACCAGGCACTGCTGCTCACCTGGAGGCTCATAAGAACATTTAAGAAGTCGTTCATGCCAGTCAGGTGCTCAACGTCCTGAAAGATGGCGACAAAGAGGGTGGGGGTGATGGCAATAGAGCGGGTCAGCAGCACCCGGGCGAAACGGGACCACCGCAGGTTCAGGAAGCCCTGCAGGAAAACCAGAGCAGCTCTGGGTGAAAACAGCAGGAGCCTTCGAGTGCCGCAGGAAAAGCAGGGCTCAGGGCAGGACTGAAAGCTGACCTGGCTGAAAGGCACGTCAGGGAGTTTTGTGGATCTCCCAGCAAGAGCTACGGGTCATCAGTATGAGCTTTAAAGGCTCGGGAGTAGAGAGAATGGGCGCACAGGCAGCTAAGGCTGCTAATTACCTCCATGACGAACTGCCCCGAGTACGTCCCTGTCATCGTTGAGCTCTGGCCGGCAGCGAGGATCCCGATTGCCCAGATATAGAGAGCAGCAGGGCCGAAGTAACAGCCCAGAACAACGCCCTGGAACGGAGATTTGCAGTCGCTCGTCAGTTCAGTCCCGCACCCGAGAGCGGGAACAAGAAAGAGCCGACGAATTCCCTCGTGACCAGATTGATCACGGGCACTGAGTTGAAAGAGAAGGAATAATCCATCCGCAGGAGAGGGAAAAGCATTCCCTGCGTTGGCAGCAGATAGGGCAATACCTCACAGGCTGCAGTTTTAAAAAAGCAGACTCCGGATCAGCAAGGAGAGGCTTTGTCATGGCCAAGCTGATAAAAGAGGGGAACAGATAGCTGGGGAGCCTCTGCGGTTAGGTCAGGTGCGTTACCGTTACCAAAGGGATAGATAAGTTGGTTTGGTCAACGGGCTGGGCTCAAGGACGCTCCCCAGGGGTTTCCTCCAGCTCTGTTTTTGACAACCCCATTATAGGTGCTGGTCTCCTGCTCACCCAAAAGAAGCGGCCGCTACCAGACAAGGACGCAGGCTGCCAGGGAGGAGGCCATCCCGCCCTGCAGGGTACTCACCCCTTTGTAGATGTCCACCTCCAGCGTCTGGTTGTTGTTCGGGAAGAGCGAGGAGTGAGGGCTGCTGGTGTTCACGCAGACGCTGCTCTGCAACGACACAAAGGGGCAGGAGCCTGGGTTTGCTCAGCAGGAGAGGAGCGAGGATGCGTGGAAAAGGCTGCAGGTGGGGAGCAGCGGGTGCTGGAGGTCCCGAGGTGCTGGGTGCCTCTCCAAATTGCTTTAGGCGGAAATAATCAGCGCCCCAGCTCTTTTTTCTCCGTTTTACACGCAGAGTACAGGGGCTGTGCTTGAGGCAGGGGCACTGATAAGGCTGAGAGCTGCCCCCCTGCTCGCACGGTCCCCGTCACTGCTCCAGCAGTCCCACGGTTCGGTGTCAGCCAGCCTGCGAGGAGCCAAGCCCCAGCCCCCACTCACCACATCCGCGTTTGTCTTCTCGAAGAAAGCCTCAGCGAAGACGGTCACGACGAAGATGTTAATGATGAAGGAGACAAAGAGCGCGATGCAGGACTCGATGAAGAAATACTTGTTAGCCTCTCGTACTTCCCTCTTGTTGGCACGGTTCACTTGCCGGGACTGAAAAGGGGATGGCGACAGCAGCAGGCTTGAGAAACAGGAATTCAGTGGTGTACTACTTATATCTGTAATCACACTACATTAAACTGACAGTGGGTCACGGGTCACTAGGTGGGCAGAGAACACGCAGAACGAGCAGAGGCCAGCGTGGCGGTGCTAGCCACGAGACACACGCTTCTGGTCCCACGAGCACACGCAGAGGACACGTGTCCCGAAGCTCTCGTGGCCTTCCCGGTGCCGGGGGCCCAGCCGGCCTCCCGTGGGGGGGCTGCTATGTCCCCACTGCAGTAAACGCTTTAGAGCAGGCTCCCTCCCAGCGTGCCATCCCCGCACGTGCTTCCTACATTAATCAGCCCAGCCGATTACCTTGACCAAGGCAGAGTGCAGGTACATGTTGTGCGGCATGATAACAGCACCCACGATTCCCACGGCTTGCTCCAGCTGGGCCGTGCCGCAGTTCTGGCAGTAGGGGATGAACAAGCCCTGCAGCAGCTTCTCCTGGCTGGGTTTTACCGTGATGTACTGGGCACAGAGACAAAAGACACACGGGCACTGCAGCACGACGCGCACCGCAGCCGCTCAGGCTGTCCGTTTGAAGACGCCCGCAAGGCAAAGCTTTGGTAAAACGCAAAACCACGACGTGGCAACCATCTGCTGCTTCGCAGAAGCGGGGGTGCTGCACGGAACAGCACGCGCCGGTCTCCACGTCGGAGCGGCACTGCTCAGTACGGCCCGTGCGGCAGGCCCGGGTAGGAGCCGGGTGACGGCCACACTTCAGAAGCACAGACCCAGCTTCAGGTGCCCTTAATTTGAAGTGTCTTCCCCCGCGTTTTGGTGCTGCCTGGGCACAGGAGTAGCGGTGCGGGGAGAGGGAACGTGTCACCAAAGAGCTCTGGTGGAAGCGCAGAGAGACGGTGAAGGTACCTCGTATCCGAACGTTAGAGCCATGATGGTGATCAGGAACCCAAAGAACGCCTCCAGTTTTCGTAAGCCTGCGAGAAGACAAAGGACCGTAAGCAAACTGAGAAAAGCTGAACCTCGGATTTAGTTTCCAGCATTCAGGAGGAGAAATTACCATATTTGTCCAGGAAGAGGAACACGAACGTGTCGGCAATGGTGATGAGCACGCCGCCCCACAGCGGGATCCTGCGAGAGACGGGCACCCGCAGACATCAGCTTCCTAAACACCGCGACCTCGGCCGCCAGCCTCGACAATACTCGGAGTCCAAAATCTCTTTTTATTTAGGGCGCTTGTTTGAGGATGGACCTGCACTGTCCAAGGGTTTGTTTGCAGTCTGACAAGACGTTTGGCTGCACAGGGTAAGGGACCGCGGGTCTGTTTTCTGCACTAACAGCTCAGATAAGAGCTCTCCCTCTGATTCCTGAGAGCAAATGCCATGTCCACACCGAGAATGACAGGCGTGAGCAAGACTTTTAAATAGCTACTTGGTATAAAATTGTAGCTTCCTGTTACGTTTGCATTTCCAGCCTTCCTGGCTGAAGAGGACATCTTTCGGGTAGTCCTTTATTAGGGACATAAAACGTGCCAGGACGTCTGCAGCAGAATTTCAGTGTGTATCTGTTACAGCGAAAATAAAAGCCAGAACCTGCAGTTCTCCTTATAGCCAAAAAAAAGGTAACAGGCACCAAAGGCTGAGTCATCTAAGAAAGCTAGCACGGCTTACATGAATCACCCTCTACAAAAAGCTCAGTCTGAAGATTTATAGGAAAGAAACGAGTCTTTTTTGGCACGCACAATGTCACTTTCTTAATCCTAGAGAGGAGCACTCATTTCCTGCTGCCCCCTGATGACAAACCCAACTTACTTCCCCACAGACAGGAGGTTAATAGCAATCGCTGAGCCAATGACTTCTTGCATATCAGATCCAATGATAGCGAGCTCAACCATCAGCCACAGGATAATCCGAGGAACCTAGAGGTAAAGAAGTAACCAATATCATTAAAAAAAGGGAAAATGCCTTCTGCCTTTAATTTCCTGGACGAGCACAGGGTTGTGGTGATTGCACCTCCAGGAATGATCTCCTTTCCCTGGCTGTGCTGTGGAAAACATGTTGACGATTGCCACTTAATGGCTGGTCCAGAGCAGAAATCCAGGTTACCTGTGGCAATCACTGGCGGAGGTTCCCGGGTCACTTACATAATCTAAATTACTCGCCTCAGCACATTTCACTCATTACGAGAGTGAAACTGGATGTCTCTGTGTACCAAGGCGCTGGAAAGGGCCATCGGAACACACTTCCCGTGGTCAGACCAGTGACAAAGTCTCAGGTGGTGGATGAGACACACCAAACTGCACTGAGCTGGGGCCATCACCGACTTCCCCGCAGCCCCTTCCCAAGGGAGGGCCTCACTCATCTTCAGCTGAACGAGACACAGAGCCCTTTCTTACACAAGCCGTGGAGATTTCTTAAGCAGGGAAATTTAACAGCCTGCTCTTGTTCTAAAGGGCCATTTCTCTCCTCGTGATTCCTTCAGCTTACTTAACCAACAAGTATTTCAACTTTGGGAGGCAGCAAACCAAACAAAAAAGTTGAAATCGTGGGGTTTATTCCTGACTCTGTCTGCAATTCACTGACAAATGCCAGGACATTCACCCCAGCTCCTTCTTATGCTTTCGTTTTTCCAAAGACGGGGAAGACGCCAACGTGAAGCGTCTCCCATCTGCTCCCCTAACAGCCCAGGTTCTTAACGAGCCCTCTGCTGCTGCTGCATCAGGGCTACAGTTACAATCTTCCTCTAAATCTGCCTTTCTTTGAACCGTGAGGCAAATCAGAAGAAACCAACCTAATCCCCCGGCTTCTTGGACAGTAAAGCAAGGTGCGATGATGAAAACACAATTCGGCAACCAGAACACTTTCTCCTAAGGAGGATTTGGCACTTAATGGGCAACAGGGACGTTTCACGAGTCCCGTGAGACCTGCCAGCCCCAGGTGAGAGAACCACGTGGGTCCAGGCCCACGGGACTACCCGGAGAGCCTCTCGGTGCCGCCGAGGAGCGGGAGGTCACCCACCTTCTGGTACTGCCGGTTGCACACTTCGGCGAGGTGCAGCCCCGTCACCACCCCCAGCCTGGCAGCCAGCCGCTGCAGGAGCAGCCCGATGATCGTCGCCAGCAGCAGGACCCAGAGCAGCTGAGGGAGACAGGAGGGCAGCAGTGGGTGCGCTGGGGCAGCAAGAAACAACGGCCACGCACGAGGTTCTGGGTCCCCTAAGACACCTGCACCCCGCCGGCACCTTTAGGAATCACAGGCCTTTTCAAATACACATTATTGACATTCTAAGGCTGTTTTACGTGCCCAGAGCTGGCACGGGAAGGATCCAAATGCACATAAAGCCAGGAGTCACTGTCAGAGCGGGCCCAGGAGAGACTCACTCTCCTCTTCTCATTCTCTGGGGTGTTTTCAGCTCAGCAGCAACAACAGCGCTATCGATACTCCTGCCCTAAAACGTGGATGCTTACATGGTTTGCACAACTTGCAGCACTTCACCTCTAGCTTTCTGCACTTACCTTAAATCCTGCAACAGCCCCGGACTGTAAATCTGATTCGATGTTGCCCGGATCCAGGTAGGCAATGCTCATCAGAAAGCCTGGCCCCGTGAAAGCCCAGAGCTTGCGGAAACTAAAGCACGAGTGCTATTGAGGGGGAGAGAGGATCGAGACATCAGAAGTCAGCCCTGCACCGGAGCCTTCTGCTAACGCAGGGGACGTGTCGAGCCCAGAAGCCACCCCAGCTGTCAGGCACAAAAAACGGCAAGAGGCAGCCAGGTCTGCATTTTAATTTCCTCACTGCCACACCAGAAAGCAGCCCTGGTAAAATGGACCTGCTCTTTCATTAGATCTGAAACTCTCCAGCAATCTCTGGTCCTAATCTAAAGAGTTTAGGTCCAGACTCTGGGACAGCCAAGGACACTCTCATGTAAATCTGGGTGGGAGATGAATCCTCCTGTGCTTGCAGCCAAAAATGAGGCCTTGTTGCTTAAAAGCAAAGGGGGCACCCATACCCCCTGCAAAGGGGACAATGCTGTCACAAAGGCCAGCAAAGGGCGCTTGCTCCCTTCCTTGATAAGGGAACAGAGAGCCAAGGTCCCCTCCCCCGGGGCTACAAACAAGACACTTCTCTGCTCTTTAGCAGATCTTGCTGCTCCAGGCTTCGCAGGAGACAAAGGCTGAGTGATGAATCATTAACTCCACAGCAAGCACAGGAGGTCCTGCACCCTCTTCTCCCTCAGATCTCCATCCAGCAGCCCGGCTTACCCTTCCCAGTCTAGGCAAGGAGGGGAACCAGCCCCCAGGGGAACGACTCAAGCATGTGCCACGCACTCGCAGATTTTCCCAATCGGATTTTCCCATCGGAGCGAGTGGAGGGCTCAGCCACACTCACCGTTTCATCCTCCGGAATCGGGATCTTGCTGTCGAAGTAGGTGGTAAAAGGCTCCTCCGAGGAGGTGTCGGGCGGCTGCAGCGGGTTCATGCTGCTGGAAATAGTGCTGATGACCTCCCCGTGCTCCCCAGAGGCATCCTCTGCAGGGGGGAGAGAGAAGCAAAAAAGGAAAGGAGTGAGTGAGGGTCCCTGGAAACACAGAAAAACTTGGCAGGGACCTGGCAAGACCCACAGGCAGAGCAAAATGAGTGTGTTCTGCCCTCACAGCTAATGCTAATTAGGCTATTAAGAGATAATAAAATGAAAATAACACATACTGCTGTAAACCCACTCTAGGAGACCACACTGCCTTGCCTAAACTCTCCCTCTCCCCCATGGTGAGAGGGGGGCTGGCTAGCTGGCAGTTTATTTTATTCAGATTAATTTAAAGAAAGCCATCACGGGGCACTGTGTGATGTAATCACAACCCCACAATATTACCATAAATGATTAACTGGGACTGAACAAGCCAGATCCAGGAGGAACCCATGGCTATTTCTGCACCATTACAGAGAGCATTACTCTCCTGGCTGAACAGACCATCTGTGAGAAGCTTAGTCCTGGAAGGACCCTGTTCTCCTGAGAGTCCTGCTCCTACTCAGGGAACGCACAATGCGGCACTTGTTTGGAAGCCCGAGAGTTTTCTCTTCTCCTACAGCAGGAGAGCCAGGCAGGAGAGCCAGCCCCGATGAATTTTCAGGACAACTTCTAAATTTAACTTGTGAGGAAGGTGTGCAGGGTTACTCCAGCGATGAAAACGCACGTTCCCACAGATTACGTGTTAAGACATGTAATACCACCCGATTCCTCCCCTGCCCACCTTCAGGAAAACGCCCCTGCTCCCGAACCGAGCCGATACTCACTTTTGCTCTCCCTACGTGGCATTTTGCTCTAGGAGCTGAAGAGCAGCATGTGTCCCCAGCACCCACTCTTTGCAACTGGAGGACTGAAAACAAGGCCAGCTCTTTTACCAAGCTTCCTATTACATCATCAGAGTAAACTGAAGTTGATTGCTCCTCCTTTTTCCCTGCCTCCCAAATACCTGGCAGGGCTGCCTGCCCTACCAGCAGACCCGTTTACATAATGGATTTAGAGCTACCTCCGTGTGTGCGGGAAGGAGAGATCTGTCTGCACAGGACAGGCTTGTTCATCTAGTTAAGCAAGGCTGAGTGAGCCCCGGGAACTGTAAATCTCCTGCTGGGCTCATCTCAAAAGCCTGAGGGTGTGTAATCAAGCGTACGGGGCGGTAAACAGGCACACGGAATCCTTGGGGTGGTTTTTGCAGGACAACGGAATTGAGTAAATGGAAGGTGGATGTATGAGAGCAAACGTGCTGTGCCACAAAGCAAGCCTTACCGTAGGATGCCTTCTGGTCCGTGTCGGAGCTCCCCATGGTGGAACCCTGACAGTGGCCTGGAAACTGGTTTAGATTGGCCACGTTGCCTGCAGAGGGGGGGAAAAAAAAAAAAACAACCAACTGTCAAGGAGGAGAATAAAAACCTACAAGAGAGCCGAGTGAACTGACAGCTCCAGGCTGGGACAGCCAGATTTACTTCCCCAGCCCTTCTCCAGCTTTGCAGAGCCTTGCAGGGCCAGGACGGGAGTGTTTTGGCCAGGACCAGCTTGGAAACTCCTGTTGCAACATGAAGAAGGGGTGAGTGGACTGACCAGACAAACCAATGCAACAAAAGTGTTTGCAAGCAGCCAGGCTTAGGACGGTGCCTGTTGTGAAACTCCAGCTAAGGAAACAAGAGTGGAATTTCCTTTATGTGTAAAAATCACATACTATCCCTCCCCTTCCAGGCACGATCATTACACCTATGCTGCACCCTTTACGGGACATCGTAAGCTGCCTTTAAGGGCACAGTGTAACTCTTTCATCACGTTGTATTTTTAAATCTAACCCACGCAGAAAGGAACTAGGATCTGGTACAGGACTGGATGAAGCTGGCGCCCTCCAGGCTTAAAAAGGTCAAATCCCCCAAAGCCCTCAAGGACAAGTCAAAGTACCAACAGTATATATGCTTGGTATGTAAAGCACTTAATCTTCCTCAAAGCCTATTGTATATTAATGGGAGATTTCCTTATAACAAGGCAATATTGGTTCAGTGAAGACATAAAGGAAAACATTAGCCAGGAATTAATTTTGAGTCATTTAAACCAATTTTAGGTTTTCAAAGATTAATTCTCCAGCTCCACAACCAGCTCCAAAGGTGGTTTGTAACCAAGCCAGGCATGCTAAAATAATCTGGAGAGGGTTACTTCACCGCGGGCGGGAGCGATACCGTTTCTTGTAGGCAGGGCGACAATTGTTATTTATCTACGCAAACATGCTCAAGATTTTAAAGTGCTGATTCTGAGGCAACAAGATGAATACAGCGCGCCCCAGGAGCTCTCAACTGCACAACTCGCCGTTTGTGCCCGCCAAGGCTTATTCCTGCTTATTCTGCCTCTTTGCAAACAATCCCTATTGTCTGCTCAGAACGAGCGCGTAGAATTCATCCGTGCCGGTGCGGAGCTCGGCGACGAGGTTTCACTAAGCCGTAGGGTTTCTCGTCCTGCTTTTTTCGCTGCGCCCCGCGGGCTGCGCGCCGGCCAGCTCTGCCTCTGCTGCAGAGGCGCCAAAGCCGCTGGCTCCCCCACCGTCACCCGGGGTGGCAGAAAGCGGCTCTGGCCCGCGAGGTGGGCGCGGGGGGACGGGAGGGCTGGCGAGGACGCAGGGTTGCCTGGCTGTGGCTCCCTGAGCACGACTTGGAAGGAAGCGGGACGCCACGTTCCACCGCAGAGAGCCGTGACTCTGTGGTCTTAACCACGTCAGGGCCCTGGAGAGCCCCTGCCCCTTCCAGGTTTGAAATGCCACCAAATCGCTGCACGCTACGGGGAGGAACAGCGAGTAAATACCTCCTGCCACCTCAGCCCACCCAGAGCAGCCTCACCTCCCCGGCCTGCGCGACTGCGCCTCTGCCCGAGGCTCCTTCCTCCAGCAGCTCCCGCGTGGATGGGGACAACCTCAAGGCTGAAGCAAAGCTTTTGTCACACGCGCGATTTTCTTTCCTCACAGGCTCCTTTTCAAAGCACCTAGCCTACAGGCTTTCATCAAAAAACCCCCTAAAGTTTAGCAATAACCCATCTCTTCCTCGAAATCTAATTCCTTCAGAAGGAACAGCGCTTACCCTGGCAGCAAGTCCCACGAAACACTCACTTTAATAAAGGCGAAGGGGATCACACGGCGAACATTCGTTACAGTGCGAGACTGACCCAAATATCTCCTCGCAAAACACATCCCAGCTTGGGCGGGAGTGCAACTGGTTCCCCTATCTCCCCCCGCAGCTGCCGAGCTCGTGACACACTCATTCATGGCCCGACGCAGGAAGCGCTTTCCCACTGGTGCCAGGTTGGAAACGCTGCCCGCAGAGAAAAGCAGCCGCTGGCTGCTGCCAGCTGCGGGGATTTCGCACGCGTCCAGCCCGGCCGGGAACTGGAGAGCTGTCAAGACAGTGAAAACGCATCCAAGGGATGCTTTTTGCTGCCTCTGTCTCCACACCTGTGTGCTTTTCTAAAAGAACGGCTCTAGTGACATCCTGCTGCTGCTCTCCACGTGGATGAAAGAAATTTCGGGATAGAAAATGTTGGGATTTATCACTCCTCCTACCCATAACTTCTGTCAGCGTCTTCGAGCAATTCCTCAACACCAGGTGTGGGCCCACTGGCCCACGTTCTGCCTCCTGGAGGTAAAACGCTCCCCGCGACCATTGCTGGGTTTGACTTTATACACCATACTCACGCTCAGAAAAGGCAGCTGCCTTCCCAGGAAGAATATTCTTTGGAATAAGGCAAAAAAATCAAGAGCAGAATATCACGAGGTTGCTCTAATCGAAAAAGCAAAGACACTAGCGCTGCTGTCTAGACCTTCAGTACCCGCAGAGCGAACAACGGGTCATTCTTCCGTGCACAGCCTTCCTTTCCACTGATGAATCTACACGCCTTGGTCCAACGGGCCTTTTCTTCCTGACAGCTGGAGAGGCAGCAAAGCCGGCCAGGGGAAAGGCGAGGAGCCGACGGCTGCTTGCTCACCCTCAGCGTGGAGACGCGGGGGTTTGTTAGACAAGTCTGGCCTCACGCTGGGAGCGGTTCCTGCGATTGAGATTTCTGCATTTGATGTCGGGCTTTGAACTCGTCTGGTTCCTGCAGGGCACGCCACGATCATTAACTCTTCTAGAGCAGTTTTGGGGCCAATACCTTGTTAGCGTGGGATTTTGTTCTACGTAGGCAACCCCGTGGGCTGGCCACACCGGGCAGCCTTTACACGGTCACACCAAAAACCCGACCCCATTCCTTCCAGCTCGTGTTATACAAGAGGCACGGGGGCAGCCCCAAGCACAACACACCCACCAAAACCGGAGCAGACAGCCCGCTTAACCACTTGCTGTCCCAACAGGGGCAACTCCTTGTCCTCACAACCGGGTCACCCCCTTCCCTGTTTTCCTGACGCCCACACCGCTCTGCCAGCACTGGCACCGCCAAGCCCCAGCCCTGAAAAACCTTCTCCTCCACGTGGACCTGACAGAGAGTCACCGCTGGGGCCGCAGCACCGCAGGTTTGTCCCCATGGGATTCCTCTTTACTCTCTCACCCAACCTCCCGCTGATGACCAGAGATGACAAAAGCAGGCTGTGACACTGGCTGCGCTCCCATCGCTGAGGTCCGCGCCCAGCTGCGCCGAGGCAGGTCACCTGGCTGGCTCCGAAATGGGTCAGACAAGCTCATTCCCTGCTAATTGTTCACCCCGTACCACACGCCCAAGCCGGGAGATGCCCTGGATGCAGGAGAGCACCAAGATGAGGCATGGGGGGACAAGCCCACCGTGCTCACCTGCATGTACTCCTAGAAGGACATAGGGTTATGTGTTTATTTCTGTGGAAGGAGAACAACTGGGCAACAACAGCCTGGAAGCAAGGAACTGCTCTCTTCCCCACCCTCCTCGACCTGAAGGCTCCTGGATTTAGGAGCCAGGTCCTGCAGCTGCTCCCCATCGCTCTCATTTGCTTTTTGTACCTGTGGAAAGGGGGGTGGGGGGCTGACACACACCTGGGACTTCAAGTATTTTCACAACAGATAATAAACTGATTCAAAAGCTCTATTCTAGCACCAGCCATGAGGCTTGGGGAATAAAAACGCCCTCAAAAAACAGAAGGCAGCGCCTGAGACTCTGGGAACTTTGGTTAAGAAGGGCTGTGAAGTGGGAAAAAAAGAGAAGAGCTGTGGGACCACTGCACGGGGCAGGGCAGCAGGGCTGGGAGTCGTCGTATCGCCTTGTCCCCCAGCAAACAGCGCCGTCACCTCACCACCAACCGCAGCGCCCCGCTCTCCCAGCGAACTCCCGCGCTCCGGAGCTTGTTTGCCAGTTCCCACCACCCGTTCAGCGAGGCGTGCTCACCCCAGGGGAGATCACACCCCTCCTCCGAGGAAACCTCTGGCTGGCAGTCATGCACTGACTTTGGTCGGGCAGCTCAATCCGGCATCAGACAGCCGGCAGAACCGCGGGGGGCCCGTCCCACTGCCTGGCCTCACCCTCCCCGCTGCAGGGGCACCTGGCAAGCGCCGGGGACGCTCGGCTGTGGCTCTGCAGAGGTAACAGGACGCGAAACGCGTGTCCTGGATCACTCAGCCCGGGCAGGCAGAGCTCTGCGGGGCAGCTACCGAGGAGCCGAGGCGTTAAGAGCCGTCCCCTCCTTGCACCCCCGAGCCCCCGCTACGAAGTTCGCTGGTAAAGAGCGTCGGACCCTTGGATGGACGAGGGACAGGGCTGGGGTGCCCAGGGATGGTGTCGCCCCCGACCCCGAGGCGAGGGTACCGCGCTGGGGGATGCATGTCAGACCCAGCCTGCGGGGAGGAAGGTTTGGGGGACACGGGGGCATCGCACCCCCAGCCCCCGCAAGCGGCCAGTGCTCGCCAGCCCGTCAGGGCGAGGAGGGCCTGTCCTCTGCGAGCCCCCCCCCAGAGCCGGGGGACACCCCAAGGTCACCGAGCACCCCGTGAGCCCGGGCTCATGGGGGCTCCTGCGCCCCAGGGACCGGGGGGGGGGGGGCGGGCAGTGCCCGGGGTGCTGGGAGCCAGCAAAACTGACCCGGGGATCCTGCAGCACACTCCAGGGGGGATCCCCCACCCCAGCACGTGCAAGGGACCCCCCCAGGGATCAACCGACAGGGGGGATCCCACCCCCCCACCCCCCCCGAGAATACCCTGGGATCTCTCGGGGATCACTTAAGGCACGGGGATACCCCCAGCACACTTAGGGGACACGGCCCCCCCCCCCCGCGGGATCACCTGAGAACGGGATCAACCCCCCGGCACGCCCAGGGGGGGATCCCCCCGCCACTCCCTGGCCCCCAGGGTACCCCCCCCCCCCCCCCCCCCCCTTACCGCATCAGACGCCCCCCCCCGCCGCCGCCGCCGCCTCATGCCCTGGCCCCGCTCGGGCCCGTTCGGCCCCGTTCGGCTCCGCTCGGCCCCGCTCGGCCCCGCTCGGCTCCGCTCGGCCCGCCCCGTGACGCGGCTCGGTGCGACCGGGGACGCGGCCCCGGGACCGGGGGGGGCGGGGAACGACGCGACACGGGGCCCCGGTGCGCGGGGAGGGGGACACCCACCCACCCACCCACCGACCGTCCCCTCCTCGGCCTCCCGCCTGCTTCGAGGATTTTGGCTTATTCCGCCCCAAACCGCGGATCCCTCAGAAGCCAGCAAGCCCCGCCTGGACTTCGCTGACCGCGGCAGCGCTTTTCACGGCAAAAACCTCAAATTTCTAGATTTTTGGCTGCGGGCAAACGGCCGCAGACACAGTTATGTGTTAACTGTTTCCGTCTCACAAGGAATACTCTGTATTTTGGGGGCAGAGTGTCTTACTTTGGCTTTTTTTTTTTTTTTCCCCATAGAAAAATGCTGCTCTTTCACAGAATGCCTCTTACTCCACACATTGCCTTGAAAACTGAGGATATGGGGGTTTTTTTGTTTGTTTTAAGCAACCCCTTCCTGGGAACTAAACCAACAGGTTTAATTGGTGAGACACACAAGGAACCTGCCAGCCCGGGGCAGAAGCGGCACGGCATCGCTTCCAGCTGCACACGAGGGCTCTGGGTTCCCATTTCCACCATCCCGACCATTTAAATTTCTTGGTAGATCACTGGGAGCACGGCCTGACCGTGACCAGACGGGAGAGCACGTGGGGATCCGGGCTAACGGAGCAGGACACCCCGACCCACACGAGAGAAAATGCTCGTTAAAAATCAAACCCTTTGCTGAGCGAAGCTGCCGGCGGTAGGGAAGACAGCTCCTTGCTTTCCCCAAACGCGGAGGCTTTGCAACCCATGTTCCTCATTGTTTAAACACAGACAAAAAAAAAAAAACACAGGATGTTGTTGAAATGACTGAAACCTGGAAAAATAAAGAGGAGAAATCTGGGATAGGGGAGACTGCACTGCTGTGGATTTAACCTTACCTCTGACCTGACAACCTGGGCATTGGAGAGGGAAATTAAAACCAAATCGCACTGTCGCGCGCGCATGGGAGCACGAGCGCAGCACCTGCACCGTGCCGGCACGCCGCCCCGCCTCGCCGAAAGGTGCGAGAAACCTCGCAGGAGGGTGGTTTCCCAACAGCTTTTGGCCTGACGCTGGAAAATTGACATCATTCTCCACATCCTGGGGTATTCTGGGATGAGGGTGATGCCTTCCATCAGCAAGAGCACCCCGCAGGGACGGCGGGCTGGCTGGGATTGGCATTTGCAGTACTCACCCAATTCACAACTGGGCGAGCTCTGCTTGAGGGCATATTTCTTGGGCATGGTGCTCCTGCTTCTCTCTCTGGCTGTTTCTGGGAGCAGACAGCCTGGTCAGCGATCCTCTCTCTATATAAGAGGTGTCCCCACCCTTCCCCGCTGGTTCCCCTCCCTCCCTCCTCCGCCCGCAGCGCCCGCACCGATCCAGTGGTGCAGAGTTCCCTGAGGAGAGCTCAGGAAACAATTCAAAGTCTTCTGAAAACAACCGCATCTGCTTTAACCTTATCATTTATTAAATAACTATAAACCCTGCCGAGTTAAGGGGGGGTAAGAGGACAGCCGAACGCTTTGATGTGAAGCCTCATCCCCATGGCGAGCAGCGGTGTTGGGCTTGGGGGGAAAGGTGGGTTACGCGCTGTCTGGGGTTACATTATCAACCCAGGAGGCTCAGTTAAAAGGCCGTTTGGTGGAGCACCAGACGTGCTCTGGTAATTAGCACATGAAGCGGCCTGGACTCTGCTCCACTGGCACTATTTGACAGATTAGAGGCCCAACTGGCACTTACAGGGCATTTTCTAGCTGCCGGTACGTGCAGTGCTGATAAAATGCGATCCCTTCCCGGCGTGGATCAATACAATCTATTATCAGCGAACCCCACTGGTCTAAAACCCGCCAAAGCAGAGCGATAACCCCAGGGTTTGTATTCTTTTTTTTTCTGTTCCCTTCTTTCTCTGCAAAAGGGCCCCCGTTGCCTTTTTCTGATAAGCAACAGCTGAATGTGCAATGCTGCGAGACTCACCAGGCAGGAGGGCAAAGATGGGCCTGCGTGACCAGCGCCACACGCTCCGGCTTCCCGGTGCTGCTGGAAGGGAGCAGGGGGGGCTTGGGGCCCAGTTGGAGGGAGAAGGGAGGCGTTGGCTGGGAAAAGCATCCCAAAGGATTCAAGGAAGTCTGGAGGAGCTATCAGAGACCTGGAAGGAGGGAACATAGTGCCTGGTTTTAGCGACGCCTGGGAGGAAAGGAGCAGCTAGACCTTATGGGCAGGGGTAGAAGCAGCAGTTGTTTCCCAAAAAGCTGTTGGCGCCGTTTCTTTTGGCGCTTCGAATTGAGAAAGCAAACGTGACCCGTGTGAAACTACGCGGGGGGTAGCTGCAGAGGTGGCCTGGTTGCCCAGCACATGGGCTGTCTGCAGCAGGGACGGATGGACAGATGGATGGGTGGAGGCAGCCTGCGCAGCTCCGGTGTCAGGCTGCGGGGCAGGGGAGCTGAGGGTGTCACCCGGGGCGGGGAACACAGGGCTCGGGGGGTGAGGGGGAACCCCGGCCCCGCTGCTGCCACGCTGCCCCTCGCCGGGCATCTGCCCTCCCCGCCGCTGCCAAGGGCGAGTTACAGCCCCGCCACGGGCACGGGCTCCCCTCCAAGGGCCAGGGAACGGGATTTAACCCCCGGCGCCGCCGGTAAAGGGGGAGAGGGGGGCCCGGCTCACCTCGCTGCTTTCACCAGCCGCCCCACGGCGGAACCGCCGGGAAGCCACAGGCCCGGGAGGGGGGACAGTCAGCCCGGGATCCCCCGGCGCCGGACAGAGAGAAAACCCCCGGGGAAGGGGAAGGGGGGGGGGAAGGGGAAGGGGGGACGCCACCGGTAACGGAGAGGCCGCGACCCGCTCCGAGCCCCGAGGAGCCACTTCCGCCTGCAGTCACATGACGCACCCGCGCCAGCCAATCAGCGCGCTGCTCCCCCTCCCGCCGTGCCCTTCGCCCTTTCCCCCTCGCCGTGACCCCGCCCAAGATGGCGCTGGCCGCGGCCGCCAGTTGCCGGGCGCTCGGGCGCCTCGGCCGCGGCTCCGCTTTGCGCCTCGCCCGGGGGCCGCCGGGGTGAGCCGGGGCCGAGCCGCGCCCCCCGCCGCGCTTACGGGCCTTGGCCTCCCCCCGCCGCATCCCCCGGCCCTGCCCATCGCCCCCCACGGCCGCTCGCCCCCCTCCCCGTTACTCACCGTGGTGTCGTTCCCCGCGCCCTGAGCTCCTCACCGCCCCCCCCACTAACCTGCACCCCCCCCCCCCCCAACCCTGCACCCCCCCAGCCCTGGCTCAAGCAGCTGCCCGGCACCAGCAAGTTCCACCACCCTCTCCCCTCCCGGGGGGTTTCAGGAGCCCCCCAGCCCAGCGCCCTGCCCCTCTCAAAGCCGAGCCCCCGCTTTCCTCAGCCTTTTTTTTTTTTCCGCAAAACGCTGACGGAAACAACCGCGTGTCGCTGCAGGTCCTCGCTGTGCTGCCTCTCCACAAAAGCCAGCTCCAGGTCCGTCCTCGCCGCTCTGGCGTCGGCAGCGAAGCGCGTCAACGGGAGGTACGAGAGGTTTTTGGAGAGGACGTTCCCCCGTTTCTATGTGCTGTACGCGACTTTCACGAAAGGTGAGGAAGGAGAGGACGTTTTCCCTGGGGAGGACGGAGGCAGCTGGATGTGCTGCCCTGTTCCCTCCCTGCGGCTAAAAACCGCCTCGCCGCCGGTGTTTGCCGGGGGACTGGGGACCTGAAGGTGCTCTCTGTTCCGGCAGGAATCCAGGCGTTCTTCCTGGAAGTTAAAGAAGTCAGAAAAATCAAATCTAAAATGTCCCATCAGAGACTGAGTGTTCAGCAGCTTCCCTACCGGGAGATGGAGAGGCTGCGGCAGGTACGGCACGGCGCCTGGGGCTGCCTCCCCGCAGCTGCCGGGGACGTGTCCTCCCCACAGAAAAAGGGCTTGAGCTCCCGTGCGGGGCGCTGGCAGCGGCTGGGGAAGGCGCGTTCCCTGCCTAGAAACGGGGCGTGGAAGCTGTGGCCAGGGCTGTTTGTTCTGAGGGGATGGGGGGGAGTCTTGTTGTCAGACCCTGATTCTCTCCTCCGGTTTCGGCGGCAGTTCCGCAGGGATGTGATCAAGGCCATTCCCATCGGGGTGATCGCCATCCCGCCCTTCGCCAACTTCTTGGTCATCGTCCTGATGTGAGTACTGGCGGCCCTGATCTTCGGGCCCCCTGATGCCTTAAATTTCATGAAAATGGGTTGTTTTTAGTTACAAATCCAGCCAGACGCTCTCCCTTCCTCGCTCCACCTCTCGCTGTAATTAAAGATACCCGTAGCCTGACGAGCCCGGCGATCGTTTCGCAATACCAGCTCCTGCGTGCCAGCAACCCGCCTGGCTCTGCTTCTAACGCAGAGAAATAATCCCCGGCACGCAGGGAACAGCCCCGCGCGTGCTCGGCTGGAGAAACCTCCTTGCACAATTCCCTCCCAGCTGTCTCCGCAGTCCTTTGAACGTCCCTCTCCCTGCCAGCTGTCCTGATGCCGGAGCTAAATCCCAACTAAATCCGTGGCTTTTTCAATTTTGCCCCCTGGTTTTGTGTCTGTGGGTGAGCACCCTGCTGTGTAAAACACTGTGAGGTGGAGATCTCGTTGTGTCGAGGCTCAGCCGTAGCAGAGAAGCTCCAGCTGGACACAGCAGCCACCCAGTCACCCAGGGCGCTCCTTCCCGAGCTCCCCGCAGCTTTAGAGGAGCAGATCTCTTGCCGTGACAAGGTGACCCACTGAACGGAGGAGGGAAAGGCTGTGGATGCTGTTTACCTTCTCGGAGACGATCGATTCATCTGCTGGATTCAGATCTGCCGGAGGGTGGAAAGGCTCCGCAGAGGGGCTGGACAAGCTGGATTCCTGGGCTGAGGCCAGCTGTACGAGGTTCAGCGAGGCTCAGGGCTGGGTCCTGCACCTGGGGCACAACAGGCTGGGGGCAGAGCGGCTGGAAAACTGCACGGTGGGAAAGGCCCTGGGGGTGTCGGTCGACAGCCAGCTGAATATGAGCCAGAGCGTGCCCAGGTGGCCAAGAAGGCCAACAGCATCCTGGCTTGTGTCAGCAGCAGTGTGGCCAGCAGCGCCAGGGGAGTGATCACCCCGCTTGGCACTGGGGAGGCTGCACCTCCAATATTGGGTTCAGTTTTGGGCCCCTTGCTACAGGAGAAACGCTGAGGTGCCGGGGCGTGTCCAGAGAAGGGTGACGGAGCTGGGGAAGGGTCTGGAGCACAAGTGCTGTAAGGAGGAACTGGAGGGGGTTCAGCCTGGAGGAAAGGAGGCTGAGGGTGACCTCATTGCTCTCCACAGCTGCTGTAAAGGAGGTGGGAGCGAGGTGGGAGTCGGCCTCTTCTCCCAAGTAACAAGCGATAGGATGAGAGGGAACGGCCCCAGGTTGCACCAGGGGAGGTTTAGGTTGGATATTATGAAAAATTTCTCTACAGAAAGGGTTGTCAAGCACTGGAACAGGCTGCCCAGAGAAGTGGTGGAGTCACCATCCCTGGAGGGATTTAAAAGACGTGTAGACGTGGCACGCAGGGACAGGGTTTAGTGGTGGAGTTGGCAGTGTTGGATTCACGGTTGGACTCGATCTTCAGGGTCTTTTCCAGCCTCAATGATTCTGTGATTCCTGAGCTTGCCCCTTTGGAGGAGCAAACACCCAGAGCTCCTAGGGTGAGATGTGCTGTCCTGGCTCAGGATGTTGCTTGTGCCTCTTTCCAGCAGCATGAAACCAAACTGCCCGGCTCCTGCGTGCGGTTTTCCTCCCTGAATCGTCGTCTCCTCTTCTCTCCAAGGTATTTCTTCCCACGCCAGCTCCTGGTCCGCTACTTCTGGACCCCCAACCAGCAACTTGAGTTCCTGGATGCCTACGACGCCATCCGAAGAGACTTGTACCTGGATGTGGTGGAGAGTTTAGCCCGGTCGGTGTGTTCCCTGCCGGAGCCGCAGCTCCGGAAACGCCTGCAGGATCTCTGCGCTGAGGTGCGTCGGCGCTGTCGCCGGCACTGCCCGTCCTGCCTGTGCTGCTGCTGCAGCCTTGGCCCTGCCTGGTGGTGACAAACACCCGTGGGAGCTGTTGGCAACGCACGCTGTGGCTCTTTCAGGTGCAGCGAGGCTCCCAGCCACGCGTGGCCGAACTCTACGCTGTGAGAAGTTTATTTTCGGGATCTCCGCTGGGTCTGAACAAGCTCCAGGTGTCTCATGTGGTGAGTGCAACTTTTATTCTGCTGGCAGCTCGGAGCCGGCTCTTCCCGAAGAGCACCGGGGCGCTAATCCACTTGGTTGTGCCCCAGACAGGGTGTTGTTCCCTAAAACCATCCATCTGTGGATGTGAGCTGGCAATTTGCACTCGCAGCCCAGAAAGCCAAAGCATCCCAGGCTGCAGCCAGAGCCGGGGGGGCAGCGGGGCCAGGGAGGGGATCCTCCCCCTCTGCTCCGCTCTGGGGAGACCCCCCTGCAGTGCTGGGGCCAGCTCGGGGGCCCCCAACAGCAGAAGGACCCGGAGCTGCTCGAGCGGGGCCAGAGGAGGCCACGGAGATGCTGGGGGGGCTGGAGCAGCTCCCCTGGGGGGCCGGGCTGAGAGAGCTGGGGGGGTTCAGCCTGGAGAAGAGAAGGCTCCGGGGGGACCCTGAGAGTGGCCTCCCAGGGCTTAAAGGGGGGGCAGGAGAGGTGGGGGGGGACTCTGGGTCAGGGGGTGGGGATGGGACGAGGGGGGATGGTTTTAAGCTGAAAGAGAGTAGGTTTAGGTTATATATAAGGCAGAAATCCTTCCCTGTGCGGGGGGCGAGGCGCTGGCCCAGGGTGCCCAGAGCAGCTGTGGCTGCCCCCTCCCTGGAAGGGTTCAAGGCCAGGTTGGACAGGGCTGGGAGCCCCCTGGGCTGGGGGAAGGGGGCCCTGCCCGGGGCGGGAGGTGGCACTGGGGGGGCTTTAAGGTCCCTTCCAGCCCAACCCGTGATTATAAGAAAACTGCCCCAGAACAAGACTATTTGTTGATCCCTGACTCGGTGTCAGGGACATGACTGAGCCGTCCCACACACCCGAATCACCCCAGACACCCGTGTCCAGCCCAGGACAGAGCTCTGGGCTCTGGACACCCGCTCCCTGCCCCACTCGCTGGGCGTAACGAGAACTGCCGGGGGCAGGTCAGGGCTCCAGCACGGGCAGGACAGTTGGCCAGATAATGAAAGGGGGAGCGGAGTACAGGGCATGTCTGGAACAGGAGAGCCTTTGTCTGGTTTAAGTCGTGCCCGAGTGGGTCAGACACCCATTTCTGGAGGGATTTGACATCCCCACCGGTGGCCCTGCCTTTGTTTTCCCCTCTCAGAAAGCCCTGAGCCAGGTCCTGTTTCTGACTCCCCACTTGCCGGCCTTTCTGCTGCGGCATCGCCTGCGGAGCCACATCCTGGAGATCCGGCAGCTGGACCGCGCCATGCTGCGCCTGGGCCTGGGCCAGCTCTCCGAGGAGGAGCTGCGAGCGGTGAGGACCCCTCCAGCCCCACACGGGCTGTGTTTTCCTGGTCATCAGCAGAGCTGTGCTGGGGCACAGCACGTTCCTCCAGACCCACGCCGAGCCGGGTTGTGGCCGCTCTCTGGGAGGGCGATTTCTGAGCCTGTTTTCCAGGCTGGGACCGCGCTGGGGCACCGTTCCCCACTGCTCAGCCCCACGTTGCGCTGAGGGAGGATCACGGTGCGATCCCCGGCGTCTCGTGTGACCCGGAGTGCCCATCCCTGAACACGTCCCTCTCCCCTGCTCCGCAGGCTTGTTACCTCCGTGGCCTCAACTCCACTCATCTCGGCATGTCCGAGTGCAGAGCGTGGCTGGAGCAGTGGCTGGGGCTCTCCTGCAAGCTGCAAGGTACTGGGGGCCGAGGGGCAGCTCCTGCCTGGTGGGACAGGGTGGGCCCGGGAGCCTCCGGAGTTCCTCTGGGCACAGGGAACATCAGCTCTGGGGAAACTGGGGGTAAAGGGTGGCTTTGTCCCCCTCTGGGCTGCCCCATCGATCCCCCAGGGCCTTGTCCCTGAGGAGGGCGCGGCGCAGCACGCTGGCTCCCTCCAGGGATGTGTCTGTGGAACCCAGCCTGCGCCCGCGTGGCCCTGTCCCCCAGAGAGCTCGTGGAGGCAGATTCCAGGGGAAGCGAAACGGGAGCGGGAGGGAAACGGGGGGCCCAGGGCAGAGCAAAAAGTCCTCGGAGAGGGGGCCCGGGGGTGACGGGGAGCCTCGCAGCCTGTGGTGCCGCAGCAGCAGCTCAGGATGAGCGCGGTTGGGCCGTGGCAGTACAGCTCTGACCCCACTCTCCTATTTTCCCAGTTTCTGAAGCTTCCCTCCTGGCAAACAGCATGGTCCTGCTGTCCCTCAACTACGTCAGGACCAAGGAGTGACGGCCGAGCCGCCGGCTGCGCACCCTCACCCCGGCATCTCCGCGCCGACTTCGTGATTCCCAGCCCGGTGCTGCAAACGTCCCCCCTTCGCCTCTCGGTGGCGTGAAACCGCAGCCTGGAGTCGGCGAGAGGGGCCCAGGTGCTGCTGTGGGGACAAAGACGCGATTCCCTCCCTCCTGCGCTGGAGGTTTGTGCCCGTGCCGGCTCTCCCCTTCCCCTTGGTGCCGTCGGGGCGGGCTGGCGGTGCCGCGGGGCCCCGGCCCCCAGCGGCGTTTGGGGCAGGCGGCTTCGCTGCCACGGCTCCAGCTGTGTCACTTCGCCCACAGAAGGGGAGAGCGGGCGTCTGCGCTGCCTGTGGACACTTCCCTTAGTATCTCCTTGTAGTGGGCTCCGTTCAGCTTGGCTTGTGCTGCCCCGTGCCTCTCACAGAGGGTTTTGTTTAGTTTCCTTACTCCACTGAGCAGTCTTACATACAAAAATCTCCCCGAGGGTTAAGAAAAGACTCCGGATCCCCGTGAGGCCTCACCCGGAGCCTCGAGTTGGGGTTCCTGTGCTTTTGTGGGGCTGCAGCCGCCTCCCGGAGCATCCCCATCTCCTCGCCGCTGGCTGATGGGCTGGCGGCGCCGCTGCTGGCACCGGGGGGTTGGAAAGGCAGCACTGAGCTGCACCGACACCTTCGGCGTTCGTCCAGTTCTGCCTCATTAGGTCTCAGCCCGGCGCCTGCTGCTCGGCGGGGGCTGCGTTAGGGGGTTAAAATCCGCCGTGTCTCGCCTTGCCCCGCCACTGCATGCGAAGTGCCCAGCTCTTGAGTGAATTCAAACCAACTTTCAGTGGTTTATGAAAGACAAAAGCAAGCGCGCGGCTCGGGGGTCCCCCCAGAGGCCCCTCTGTGCCTCCTGTGCTGTGAGTACTCTGTCCCACCACCAGCTCCTCCGCTCACCGATGGGGCGTGTGCACACGTGGGAGATTGGCTTTTTTAAGCATTATTCGGGTTTACAGAAGGGGTAGAAATCACCCGCCCATGCGCCAGGCCAGCTCTGAACTCCTCCCCTCACCTCTTGGAGAAGAAACCCCTCCCCCTAAGCCCCTGCCCTCGCTATTTTTGCAGGAATTCGAGACCCCCACCAAGAGAATTCACTGGGGTGGGTTTAACCCCCTTTAGGACACAACTCGCCGTGCAAGTTTGAGCGTTTGTTTTATTTTTACACTTAAATATTCTCTTTAAATACAGCGTTATCACCATGAAAAGAACAGAAAAGGTTGGGGGGGGAAAAAAAAAACTATTCGGAGGACAAGCTTTGGATTCACACTGGAAAATTAAAAATAAAAAGCCACCTTAGACAGTGTGAGACGAGGAGGTTTAGGAGTCGCAGAGTCACTTTAAAGAGGACGCGGAGCTGGGGGGCGCCTGGATTCCGGGGGTGCCGCGGCTCCCGCCGCAGCCCGGTAGCACCAGAGAGGGGATGGGCTGTTCGGTGTCTTACACGGCGACGAATCGAGCAGGAGCCAGCGTTAGTGTCAGTGGGGACGCTTAAACCAACCAAAAAATAATAATAAAAGGCAGGAATGCACTTTCATTGCACTATTAACAGCGTAGTTATCTTTGTAAAAATAGAGTAAGTCCTGTTAGTTCTTTGCTTGTTGTGAAAGCACCCACCCTAGCCAGCGTTCTAGGATTCGTTCTGTCAGTTGGTGGAGCCTGGGCTCCCCGGATGAGTCGCCCAGCGAGCCGCTCCCCGGCGGGGCCCGACCCAGCTGCTGTGGCTGGGGGCCGGGACAGGCTGGGGAGGGCGGGCGGAGTCCCTTGAAAATGAAAAAGGGGGAAAAATAAAGACTTGAATCCATTCAGGTGTCCCCGTTTGCTCTGGTTTTGCAGCTTGGATCCATTGTGTGCAGGAGCTGGAGAACCCTCACAGCCAACCCAGTGGCAGCTCCCTGCCGGGAGGGGACGTGGGGACCTCGCTGGCCCAGCGGGGGATAAGGCTTTGTTCCTCCCGGATTTAGCCCTTGGGTGCTGGCTGAGGACGGGGAGAGCTGCCCCAGGGATTGGCACCAGCCCGTAACGTAACGTGCGCCGAGCCCCCCGGTTTGGAAACCAGCCCCTTCCCCTCTGCTCTGCCCCAGGGGAAGGGGACAGTGGCCCCGGGGGAAGGGGACAGTGGCCCCGGGGGCTCGGGCCCAGCAGCGGGGGGGGGGGGTGGGAAGAGCCACTTTGCCAGGCTTAAGGCTCCGCTGGATCCCCCCCCGGGGGCGGCAAGAGCAGCAAAAGGGGGTTGAGCCCCTTTAAACACCTTTCGACAGAGGGAGGCGACGGACAGGAGCACCCTTAAGCCACCGCAACCCCCCCAAAACAATTTTAAAGCACTTCAGCAGACCCCAGTTCCCCCCCCGCCCCGATTTCCCCGCTCTCCAGCTGGAACATTTCCCCGGGGAGCTCCGGGGCTGTTCTCCGAGGAGCGGCGAGGGCAGCAGCAGCGGGGCTGTATCGGATTGAACCCGCTGGCAGAGGAAGCGGGTGGGCAGCGGGGGCTCTTCACTCCCCCCTCTCCTCCTGATTCTCTCCGTAAAAAGGCTGGAATTGCTCATCCGGAGTCCGGTCACGGGCAGGGGAGGGAGGGGAGACCCTTCCCCTTGGCTGGGGTAAGGCTGGAGAGAGGGGAGAGGTTAAAACCACTGGGGGGAAAGGGAGCTTGGAGAACTAACACCCCCCCCAGGTCCTGCCCCTCGAGATGCAGCTCGGGGCCCTTCAGTGGGGCTGGTTTCAGCAGGAGGGAGAAGGGGGGGCCCCATCCTGGCACCGGGGGAGCCGGTGGGGGTGGCTGGGGGATGGAAAGTGCTTTCACTGCCTGGCCAGGGGGATGCAGCCGCCGGTTGCCTTGACTGTTCCTCGAGGCCGGTGCGGAGCACGGGGACGGGCCGACGGTTCGCCGTGCCGAGGGCTCGAGCTCTTCAAATCCTGGTGGTTAAAACCTCCCCCAGATTTTCTAGGAGTTTACAGACCCTGATCTGGCCCCTCTTGTGCAACTCGAGCCTCCCCCGCCGGCTCCAGGTCCTTCCCGATCCATCCGGGCCCAGAGCGGTGGGCAGTGGCTGGCGAGGCAGGGGAGCAGCCCTGGGAGGCGCTGGGTTGGGACGCGGCCTGGTAAACATTCAGTTAGGGCAACAAAAAAAAATAATAAAAAGGAAAAAAGGTATTTTTTCCTTAAAAAACAAAGAGGGCAGAGGTCTCCTAGCAGCCCGGGGCTGCAGTGGGGGCAGCTCGGGGGATGGAGGACAGGACGGAGCTGCCATGGGAAGCAGGAGGCTCCAGGTCAGGCATCGGCCGAGCCGTGAAAACCGTCTCTGCCAGGCAAGCGCGAGGCTCCTGGCACCAGGCGAGGCGACGCCGGGGGAAATCCTCTGTACAAAGCAGCCCCTGCTCTCCCCCCCCCACCCCCCCCCCCCTGCAATTAAATAACCACCAGTGGCCGCTGCCGGTCCGTAAAATATTATTGTCAATAAATAAATGAGCGCCGCGGGGGGGACGGGGCTGCTCAGACGGGCAGGACAGGCCCCAGCGAGCGCTCCTCGGCGGAGGGCGGCTCGTGCAGCCGCTCTGGGGCTTGCTCCGGCGGCCCCGGGGCCAGGGAGCGCGGGCAGCGGGGAGCAGCCGCCCTTCGGCAGCCCTCGGGGGACGGCACGGCCTCCGGGGGCGAGGGAGGACTTTTGGATGCTTCCCCTTTGCTCGCAGCGGCGGCAGCTCGGCTGCAAGTCACCACAGGGACGGGGAGGACGCCGAGGTCCTTCTCGCCAGGGCAGGGGGACGGTGCCGGCGGCTCGGCCGGGCTGCTGTCGCCCTTGGTGCCCAGCACCGGCCTCTGCTCCACCTGGTAGTAGACCACAGGCCCATCGTTCAAGTAGGGTTGGTCGCCCACCGCCGAGGCCGCCGGCTCCGAGCCGTCGGCGAAGCAGAGGACGGACGAGCCCGGAGGCAACTGGGCTTGGATGAGGATGGGGGCGGCAAGACCTGGGCACAGACCCTCCGGCACGGCCAGGGGCTCCTCCAGGATGCAAACGCCCAGGCTCTCCACGCCGGAGCCATTGCTGGAGTCTTCCTCAGCCTTCAGCCTCTCCAACTCCTCTGCCGTTTGCAGGTGCATGACGGCCGTCTCGTTCTCCGCCATGAACTCCTGGAAGTCCTGCGTTTCGGCTGGCTGCGGCCCCAGCCAGTCGCCAGCGGAGCCCTGAGCGGCGGCGGCGGCCGCCTCCTCCTCCGGTGCCGGCGGCCGCCCGCCCTGGCGCTTGTTCTCCAGCTCCAGCTTCATGATGGTGTGGAGGTAGTGAGTCCGCACCCGGATGGGATTGAATTCGATCCGACCGGCCATGTTACCGCAACCGTCCCGGGAGCAGCCGCAGGGGAAGGACATGCGATCCACCTGGCAGGGAGATGGAGACGTGGCAGCTCCAGGGTCGCAGAGGGTCCCTCCGCAGAACCTAAACACCCCCCCCCAGCGCTGCCCGACATCGGGGATTCGGCACCGGGGGAAGTTTTTCCCCTGCGAGGTGTCCCCGGAGCTGCACCTCGGCCCCTCCAGGAGCAGCCAGCACCTGAGAGCAGGGGCACGGCGAGCGTGCCGGCACCAGAACGAGCCCGGTTTCACCCCCAGCACCTCCCTCCCCGGCTCACCTGGCACTTAATCCCTGCCTGGCTGCAGGCGCAGGCCTCCGGGTCGCAGTAGAGGCGGCAGTCACAGCCGCACTCCTCCCGGGACAGGCGGATGGCCCGCAGCTCCTGCTTCTCCTCGGCGTCGATGCGGTGAACGCCGGAGGCGCGCAGCAGGGCTCGGCGGCGTTTGGTGGGCAGCGGCTGCAGGAAGAAGTAGTCGTCCACCTCCACGTTCTCCACGTCGATGTCGTCGTCCGAGACGTCCTCCAGCGTCAGGCCCTCCGCCTCCTCCGACTCCACCGTGCCGTTCTTGGTGAGCTGTGGGGCAGCGGGGCAGAGTCAGTGCCCACCCGGGGGGGAAGGAGGATGCTCGTCCCTCCATCTGGCTCCTGGTCCCCTGCTGACGGCTCACCGCCCAGCTCCGAGCCTTCCCTTGCCCCTCAGCACCGAGCAGGGCCCGGCGTGGCGAGCTGAGCACCCCGCAGAGCCGTCCCCACGTGATCCCCCCCCCAGCCAGACTGCAGGTGGGCTCGCAGTGGTTTATAGAAGGGAGAGAGATAAAAATTAAATACTGAAAGAATCCGGAACAGAGAACCCCCTTTCCGTCTTCCCTCCTCTACGGCGCTCTGCAAATGGTGAGATAAAAGGAGGTGGCTGCTCCTTAAAATACCAAGGTCCCGGGAGAGCGGCAGCAGCCGTGGAGCTGCAGAGCATCCCCCCCCCAGGGAAAAGGAGGTTTGAAAGCAGCGAAGGGGCCAGAGCCAGATGTGCCTCCCTGCTCTGGTCCTTCAAACTCCCTTCCTCCCCATGCACTCCAGTACCCCCAAATCTCGGCACTGAGGACACGTGGGGGTCCCCAGCCCTCTGAAAGCCGGCAGACGCAGAGGCAGCAGAGAGGTCCACGGCCTCCTGAGAAGCTGGTGGAAACGCCCATGTTTAAAAAGGAAAAAAAAAAAAATAAAGAGGTGGCCAGCTGGATTTGCATCCCTTTGCCTGAAGCAGCTTGGAAACTGGATCACAGGCTCTGGGGAGCATCCCAGGGAGCAGAGCCCAGCCTCTCGGCATTGCCTGAGGGCCCAGACCCAACCCGGGGAGGGGCTGGAAAACAGGCAGAGCCACTGGATGTTCCCCTGACGCAGCCTGGCTGCCTCCTCCCAGACTGGAATTTCTACCAGCACAGACCTGGTGAGGTTTTGGCCCACAGCTGGGAACCTGGCACAGGCTGACGCTGCCCGGCCAGCCCTGCACGCGGGCACAGAATCCACACAAAAAAGAGGCAAAAGAAAGCGAAAGGCAGAATGTAGTGATGCTAAAACGGCAGCCGGGATCGCTCCACTCCGAGCTGGCTTATGCTCCAGCTCCACCGCAGCTCAGCGAGGTGCTTCCCGACCGCGGCATCGCCCGGATTTCACCAGCCGCGCCCCGCTTCCCCGGCAATACCTTCATTTTCTTGGCGTGGAGTTTCTCTTCCTTGAGGTGCTCCCGTAGGATCTCCCGGTGATTCACCTCCTGCTCCTGGGCGAACTCGCAGAGCGTGTAGCGGCGGACGGAGTTGTGGCGCTGGGCCATGCCCAGGGAGCTGCCGCCCTGGCTGGGGACGCTGGTGAAGCCCTGGCGTCGCGCAAAGTAGTAGACGGTCACTTGGTCGAAGCGGACGCTCTTCCTGCGAAGCTGCTTCTGCCGCTTCAGGATGGAGGTGGCTGTGGCGGGGGGGAAGCCGGAGAGGGGCTGTTAGGAGGAAAAAAAACCCCTCGGGGGGTCCCACAAAGGCTCCCACCCTGCTGGAAAGCGGCTTTTCCGCTCCCAGGGGTGGGTTTGAACCGGTGCTGGTGGCCCCGAGCTGGCTCTGGGCGACGGCTGCATCCGCGCCGGCTCCACTGCCACCAAGAGCGACCCCATCACTCCCCTGCACCACCACCACCCCCTTCAGCCGCCGAAACAGCCCAGCAGGAGCGAACGCCAGGAGCGGGGGCAGAAAAAGTCCAGGCTGGACACTGGACAACCAGTTTGGGGTCTAATATCTGAAATCCCCCGGGCTCCGGCGTGGCCCGTACGCGTGAGCCTGGCGAGCAGATCTCTGCTCGTCACCCCGAGCGGGTTATAAGGACAAAGCGGGGATGGGCAGAGCCAGCCCCACATCCAGGCCCCTCGTGCTCGAGGGCAGAGGCACCCGGGGGGTGGACCACTCACGTATGAAGCCGGTGGAGCTGGAGGGGTTGACGCTGTCGCAGCTGTCAGCGCTGTCGCTGTTGGAGATCTCGTCATCCGAGTTGGAGCCCGGCGAGCCCACGTCCGCATCCGCAAACTTCCTCTTGAGGCCGGCGCTCGCGATCGCGTCCATTTGGCCGCGGTTCGCATGGAGGGCCGGCGGGCGGCCGGGGGGGGCTGCTTTGCCACCAGCTCTCCCGCGCCGGCCCCCGGAGCTGCCGGCGGGCTCACCACGTCCCTGCCGAGAAGCCAAGAAGTCGTAGCGGCATTTTGGATAAGCCAGCATCACCCACAACCACCAGGAAAGGCTCCCCCGGCTCTCAGGAGCAGCCTCTCCCCACCCCAGGCAAACCCCCTGATCCCCGCCGCACCACTGCAGGTCCCCGAGGCGAGCCCATCCTCCCCACATCTGGCCTGCAGTAAGGAGCTGTGGGCGCTTATTTAACATTATTTAATGATAACTTTTAATTTTCGGGCAGCCCTGGAGGGATCAGGCGGCTGGGCAGGGTGCAGCTCCCTTCCAACCGAACTCTTCTGTTCTGAACCGATTTGTAACTGAATTAACCAAAAGCAAAAGGCGACGCCGGTTTTAGCAAGCAAGGAGCTCAGGCTGCCCCGGCGCGGCCGGCCACCGCGCGCTTCACCCGGGAAACCGCCTCTGCCAGCAGCTGGGCGCTCCCGCTCACGCCCTTCTCAAACAAAAGTCAAGCTTGAAACGACCCCGGGACGCACCGGGGGGTATCCGTCCATCGATGCCGGATCAGCGGCTCCGTCCGTGACGTAGGAGGGGAATAAGCCCCCAGAGGATTTCGCGGTGAGTCTCCAGCACTCTCCTGCCCCCTCATTAATGCCTACGCGCTCCGAAAAAGGCGACTTGCCCATGGGAAGCCGGGAAACGCTCAGCTCCAGCTGGGGCGAGGAATTTTGGGGAGCCGATCCCCCACGTGGGGCGACCGGCGAGCATCGCTCTGCGTCCCCCCGATGCTCTTGGGTCGCCGAACACCAGCGGCTTCTGCTCTTGAACCGGGCCCAGGGCTCCCCTCGTCCCCAGCCCCAGGGCCGGGCTGGAGCGGGAAGCGCCCCGGGGCGCCCTGTACCAGCCCCGGGGAGCCCAGCACCCACCCGGCTGTGCCATCTCCTCTCCTCTCCGCTTTGTGTTTCCTCCGCTCCCACTGCCGTTCTCATGGCAACGGAACAACCGGCCTCGAAAAAAAGCATGTCAGCCAACACTGGGATACGGCGGCCCCAGGGCGGATCAGAGGGGCTCGAGATGCGGTTTGAGGGCAAAGAGGCAGCGGGAGACACCGCCCGCACCCCCACAAGGCTCAGGGACGGGCTCTGCATCACCTCCAGCATCTTTAAAGCCAAAAAAGAAACGCTGGTGCCCTCCTCCTCCCCGCAAAAGTACACACCGGTGCCAAAGCTGCAGCAGCACCGGGGCTGCGGCGAAGCCCCGGAGCAGGGTGCAGTTTGCTGGCCCAGGGATGCCACAGCTTGGGTCTAAATATGGCTATTCAGGGTATTTTTTTTTTGTAAATAAATTGTTTAATCCTGCTGCTAAAGGAGGGAAAAAGCAGCTGTTGAACCAGCATAAGCATCAGACCAATTAAGACGCTGATTTAATGACACCGATCCCACACGTGATCCGAGGGGCAGAGGCAGAAAACACCCGCCTGAAGCGTCGTTGCCACCACATCCCCAAGTCCCCCACCTTGTTCTACCACCTCCAATTGCCCCAAAACGGTCCCGTTTCTGTCCCCAGAAGGTCCCTGGTCAGGGTCCCGTGGGTGCTGCCGGCGTGGCGATGCTCGTTCCAGGGCTCAGATACCTTCGTCAGCCTCGTTTTAGGAAGGAGATAATTAACGAGGAGAGTTGCTGTGGTTTCTCCTATTCCCTCCAAAGAAAATCTTCAAAATATCGTCTAAATCCCTTTTCCCTCAGGCACTTACAGTGAGGTGAGGAAAATGGCACCTGGGAGGAGACCCCCCCCCCCCCTGCAGCATCAAACTGCGGCCGGGGCTGGAGACCGGATCCTTCCCTGGATGGACCCATCAGGGGATGGTTCATATTAACTGAGTTTCTTACAAAGGACCAACTCGCTGTGCTGGGGGGGGTCAAAACTGCCCCAGAGCTGGGGGAAAAGAAGCCAAAGGCAGTGAGGTGGGCACCCACCCGGGGGTGCTGCCTCAAGGGACAGCAGGGGCTGAGGGCGGGGAGCGGCGAGGCGCTCGGGAGGGTGATGCAGGGGACGAGGCAGCTGGAAAATGAAGTTTTCCTCTCATTTCACCACGGTAGGAGCTCCCCTGCCCACATGGGCACTGTCTTCCTCCTCCTCCATCAGCGTGGCGCTGGCGGCCCCCATGCAATGCAGAGACGTTTAACTCATTTATTGGCTCAAATGACCCTTTTTTTGAAATAAAATCCAAAACCAAACCAAACTTTTGAAAATACCCAGGGCACAGAGGTGAGCCCCACAGCTCAGAAGCCCCCCGAGACCCAGCACAGAGCGGGGGGTGACGTGCCTGCAGAAGTCCCCGGAGCCTCTCCGCGGGAGGATGGGAGACCCTCACCTTCGCGTTGGATTGTGCTCTGCAGCAGGGTGAGGATTTGGGGCCCCAAAGTCGGGGGCTGGCTTAAGCGAGGGTTTAAGGAGAGAGAGGGCAAAGAGCCGGCGTCCTCCCTACGGCAGGGATGCTCATCCCAGACTCAGCTCCCAGGGGAAGCCTCCCCTCCTCCTTCCTTGCCTCCTGAGCCACAGACACGACCAGGGGAAAAAAGAATATCATAAATCTATTAATGATGGTGGCAAGGGTCAGGGTGGGGGGAGAAAATTAAAATAAGCCATCTGCAGGTTCCGTTCAGTTTTTAAAATGAGCCAAAGCCCCAAGGAGGGGATTTGGGACAGGGAAAGAAAGAACTTGACTCCAATACTGTGAGGAAGGGGCCGCGCAACCCCAGTTCTTCTTCTTTCCACTATTAAACCACACCGAAAAGTGCTCAGCTAAAAATATCGATTGCTTTTTCCCATGTCAGCCATTGCTGGAATTGCCTTGGGGAGCAGGGAGGGGTTCAGAGAGAGACAGGACTCGTGTGGTCACGGGTGCAAAGAGCCTCCTGAGACAGAGCTGGTGCAGCCAGGGGGCTCCAGCATCCGATCAGGAAAACCTGCCGGCTCGAAGCTCACCCAAGGCTGGCTAACAAGCCCAGATCCTCACGAGGAATTGATGCAGTCAGGCTGCGAAAAGCCATGCTCCTGGTCTGCCAGTTCCCAACTGTCAGGAGAAGAGGGGCGGCAGGAGCAGCTCGGGGTCCCCCAAGTTTGTTTGCCAACGCCAGCGCATCCGCTGCCCTCGGCCCAGGTCCCGCCGACGAGTTCCGTTTCGCCTCCCGTGACTCCGCCATCACCTCTGATGATTCTTGATTCCGGATGAGCTTCCGGCTGCTCCTCCATCGCGGGTTGTCCAGGTGGAGACCGAAACAGAAATTCCAGAGCAATGAGGGGTTTTATTTCCGGATATTCAGAGTAATTAGTGATTACCAGGTGGAGACCCTCTGGGCATCCCAGATTTTGTGATGGCTCCCAAAAATCATGCATGGATCAAGGGCTCTGGGACTGAGTAACTTGGAGGATGCTCAAGACTTCCTCCTTGTATTTACTTTCCTCTACAAACTGCTTTAACTGCATCCTTTGAGCAACGATTTTTCGGGGGAAGCCGGTTTAAGTAAGTTTCCTGTAAGAAGCAAGAGCCAAAAGTGGATCCTGACAAACCCTCCCAGGGTTTTGAGGTATCGGAGGTGTCAAACACAGGGATGTGGGATTATTTCAGCAGCCAGACAGGGAGAGGGTGGGAATGATATGCAAGAAGGAAGAAAATAAATATCTCTATAGACAGTGAGAGACCCCCGGGTGAAGCAACAGCCCAACGGACATTGGAGAAGCATCCCAACCCTGTCCTGGCTGATAACGGGCGTATTTAGGACGGGACCACGGCACATGCGGGATAAAGTCAGAAAAATATAATTGAGGAACAACCAAAGCAGCCCATTTTATTCCACTGCAGTGCTTGGCGTCTCCCAGGAAGGCGATGCTGGAGCGCAAAGGCAGAACCGGGGGCTGGAAGGAGCCAAGCTGCAATTTCGTATTCCTCCCACCCCCCGAGGTAAGGACGGCTCTCGGCAGAGATTTCAACTGGAAAACATCTCACCCCCGGGTGAAACCCACCCAAAAAGGGACTTCCCCTCTGGCAGTCACCCCTCAGTTCAGCTCTCTCCCTCGTTACCAATTATGCAGCAGCGTTAACACTGCCAGGGATGACACGGCAGCACCACTGCAGAGCATCATGCCGTGACGTCGAGGGGGTGCGTGCCCAGCACCCCCCGCCGGCCCCAAAACCAACCACAGCCCCGTAGCTTTGCGGTCGTGCAGAATAAAACACCCTTCAGCACTCCCTGATACGCTGAAAAGCTGCTCCCACCATCTCCCCGGAGCCCCCCACCCCGGGTCGTACGGCAAAGCCCGGACCCCACCGAGGAGAGGGAAACGGGCGTTAATCGCCGAGAGAAAGCAAACAGGAACCCAGGGGGAACTCGAGCCCTCGCTCTGCGCTTCCTCCAAAGAGCAAAGAAAGCAGCTCACCTCCTCAAGGACGGCCGACAGGATGGGGAGCCCCCGGAGCGGCAGAAGGGCTTTGCTTTAGGTTTGGCACCGCCTGGGAAGGGTCCAGCACGCTCAAATACGTGGCCGGACAGAGCGGAGCATGTAAACCTCCCTCCAAGGGGGAAAAAAAATTAAGCTCACATTTGAGAATCGCTGCGGAATTGAACCAGGAGCCAGCAAAAATGGTCGGATCCGGCGACACCTCCACCTGCTCAACACCTGCCACGGCGTGCGCCGCTCCCGGCCCGAGGTCCGTCAAATCCAGGCGTTATCCTGGGGTAGGAATTAGGGCAGAGCTCATCCTGACGAGCCCAGAAACCAGATTAAATAATTTCCACCCTGGTGGGGACAGAAGGGACGGCCGCTTGGCCGCTGTGAAGAGTTCAGCAGTTCGGCTCGTTTACAAATTAGTCGTCGGAGGCTTTCCCCAAGGACTCAGCCATTGGCCTCCGCAGCCAGAAGGTTGATGGATCTGCTGGGCTGCGTTTCAGGGATGCTGCGGCCGGTCGGCATGCCAGGAGCTCCGGGTTCAGCCTGGGTACAGCACAGCAGCACTTCAGCGAGCGACCAGCTTCGGGCTTTTACAACAAACGGCGGAAGGTTCGGTTTCTTCTTCTACGCTGCCACTAAGGAGTAAATCTAGGCTACATCTCCCCCAGCTCAAGCACTGCTGGCGCCAGAGCCTGTGCTTATGCAACCAGCATCACAATCAGTAGTGATGGGTCCGGGCTGTCCTAGAGCCCCCGATCACCTGCGGAGGGTGGGCAGATCCTCCCACGCTGCGGCCCGACATCCTGGGGAGGGTCGGGCGGGTGCTACGGAAAAGGCCGGTCCCCAAAAAACCCCCGCCTGGTCCCTCTGCCCGTCACCAGGACTAAGTCATAAAGGCGGGCCCAGCCCACGTCGCAGGCGGCGGCTCCACAGAACGCTTCGACCCAAAGACCCTGAAGGTGAGGGAGACCCTGAGAGCGAGGCCGAGGGAGACCTCGGAGGGGTGGGCAAAGGAGACCGCGAAGGCGCGGGCAGGGCAGCAGAACGTGGCCGCTGCTGTCCCACAGGCCCAGCGGCTCCCGAGGGCGAGCGTGGGGTGGCTGAGCCGAACCCTGGCTCCTGGACACTCTTCTCAGCGGGGTGAGAGCGGCAGGGCCTGACGTGCTGGCTGACACGGGCTGCCGGGCTCCCTCCGGACAGTGGCCACAGCTAAGGACAGCTCAGTGGCCACGGAGCTCAGGGGGCTCCAGAGCATCGGGGTGAGGTTGGCTCCTACCGCCGTAACCCTGACAGGGGTCGGGGCCAAGGTGCAGCGAGGGCCGGGCAAGAAGAAACCTTCTCCTCCACGGACTGGTCCCAGCACCACCCACCCAGCGCGGGGATGATCGCAACCCCCTCGTCACCTCCCAGCACCCGCGACAGGGACAACCGCCCCGGGCAACGACCCCTCCCCACCTTCGGGGACACCAGGACCCCCAGGAGGGCTCCTCCTCCAGCCCACCGCGGCCCACCTAGCATCACCAGCTCCTTCCCAGCACCCCGCAGGGGCCCCACCTCTACGCACCTTCTGGGGGACCCGCGTATCCACCCCAACGTGTCCCCCATCTATAAGGCCCCCCCACATCCCCTATAGGTCCCCAGCTAGAGAACAAAGTAGCTATAAGAGCACCCCATGTCCTCTATAGGGCCCTCAGATATAAAAGTCCCCCCCCCCCGCCCCTCATCACCCCCCCAGGTACAGGAGAGAGGAGACCCCCAGCCGCAAGGGTCCCCCAAATATAAGCATGCCCCACATTCTTTACAGGCCCCCAAAACACAGGAGAGGGGAGAGCCCCAGCTGTAAGGGCCCCCTACATCCCCTAGTAGGCCTGCAGCTGTAAGGGTTCCCCCATCCTCTATAGGCCCCCCCCAGCTCGAAAAGGGTCCCCCAAGCCCTTCAGGCCCTGAGCTGTAAGATTCCCCCATATCCCCTATACGTTCTCCAGTTGGAAGGTAGGCCCACGTGCCCCACAGGCCCCCGCATCCCCTATAGCCCAACCTCCCCCCAGCTAGAAAAGGCTCCTCCATCCCCTATAGGCTCCCCAGCTATAAGGGCCCTCCACATGCTCTCCAGCCCCCACGAGCTGGGAAAGGCCCCCATGCCCCTGCAGGCACCCCACATGCCCTATAGGCCCCTCAAGCTAGAAAAGGGCCCCCTCAGCCCCTATAGGCCCTGGCAACCTCTGTAGGGCCCCCAGCTAGAAAAGGCCCTTGCATCCTCTATAGGCCCCCCCATCCCCTATAGGAGTGCCCAGCCAGAAAAGGCCCCTCATCCCCTATAGGCCTCTGCATCCCCTATAGGCTCCCCGGCTGGAAAAGGACCCCCATCCCCTCCAGGCTCCCGCATCCCCTATAGACCCCCGAGCCGGAAAAGGGCCCCCACCCCCTACAGCCCCCCGGGTGCAAGAGGAGGGAGAGGCCGCCCCCCCCCCGCCCCCCCGGGCCCCCCCAGCCCCCCGGGGCGGGGGAGGGGCGGCGAGGCGGGGACCCCCCCCCCCCACTCACCGGGTCCCCACGGGCGGGGCGGGGCCGGGCGGGGCGGGGGCGGCTCCCGGGGGCGGCTGGGCGCGCGCTGGGGCTGCGGCCGCGCGGACCCGCCCCGCCGCCGCTCGCCGACAACAATGGGGCCGCCGGCGCTGCGCCGACCGTTATATAGCCCGCGTCACGTGATCCGGGGTGGGCGGCGGACACGCCCCCCCGCGCCGCCACCGCCCGAGCCGCTAGGCACGCCGGGAAACCGAGTCCGGCGGCGGGAGGTGGAGGCGCGGGCCGCGGGGCACGACGGGAAATGTAGTGCGGAAGTGCGGGAGGGTGGTGGTGGTGGTGCGTGGGGCAGGCCGGGACCCAGCTCAGGGCTTTGGGGGGGCTGCGCCGCGGAGTTAACGGGAAGAGCGCGAAGGGACCAAAAGCGCCTTCCCTCGGCAGTGAGGGAGCAGCTGCAGCCCTCGTCCCGGGGGGGCCGCTCGTCCCGGGGGGCTCCGTGGGCCGCCCTCAGGGCTCGAGGGGCGCCGCGGCGCCCAGCCGACCCGACCCCCCCGCTGCCAGGCTGAGCAGGGCCGCGGGCCCCCGGGAGATGGAGCAGCTCTGGAGGGGCAGGGGGGTGTGGGGGGGTGGGGTGTGGGGGGGTCTCCCCGCTTTGGCTTCTCCCCGTGAGACGGGCGCACTCACCTCGGCAGCCCCTCCAACACGCGCCTCCCCACGAGAGCTCAGCGAGTGGCCACGGTGCTTTTCCCCTGGATTACGGATTACTTCAGTTACTAACCAATAAGCACGTCAATTTATCGGATTAAAAAAAACCCCTCTTCATTCCCTGCCACTCCAGCTGCTTCATCTCCCCCTCTTGTTTCCAGCCAGCAACAGGGGCTGAAGGAAGGACTGGCCCGTTGCTACCCCATCCATCTGGGGGCTTTTGTTCTCCTCCCTGAGCTGCCAAGCGCAACAAATCACTTTGCCGGCATTTTCCTCATCCAATAGATTAAAATCAGCCGCACACACCCAGCAACATCGATACAAAAAAGTTTACCGAGCCTGCATCACTACCGTACAGGTCCACTGCACTTCTGGCACACTAACAGAAAAAACAGGATTAAAGTACGTGTCATCTTAATCACCAGCTTTACCCAACACGCAGAGGGTGAGCAGCTGGACACAAGCCCCTCCGTCTGTGGAGCTCGCGGTCCGGCCGCTCCCCAGAGTTCATGAGAAGCAAGCAAAACGATTCCATTTTTTAATGACTTCTTGGCATCTTTATCCCTGACCGATTTACGAGGCTTTGGCGGTTCAGGGCAGGACCTGCGGCCCAGGGCGTGATTGCATCTCTGCTCCAGGGTTAGAGAAGTGAGCTGTCGCAAAGCCAGGGGAGGAGACCAGGCGGCCTCCTCCTCCCTGCTGGAATTACCGTTGGCCAAACGCTTTGGCCCCTGACTGATGCGGGGCTGGTCGAACAAGCTCGTGTGGAGAGGATCCTGGATATCTGCTGCCAGCACTTGGCTCTGACCGTTGCCCAGGATTAACCCTCTGGCTCCTCCAGTTCCTCGCCAACCCCCATCCGCTGGGAGGTGATTCTGGGGGCGAAGAGGAGCTGCCGCAGTCCCGCACAACAGTTTCAGGGAGCTGCTGACCTATGTCCTGCCTCCAGCACCGGGGCTGAGCAGCACCACACGCGACGGGGACACCACAGGGCCCTTCACACCAGGACTGAGTCACAGGCAGCAGCCACGGAAGCTCGGCCAGCAAAAGCAAAGCTTTGGCCAGGACTGAACCAGCTCTACTAACTTGTGTTAGATATTTTGTCTGCAAGAAGAGGACAGCTGGCTGAGGAAGATGGGAACAGAATCTTTTATGGCTTACAAGCACAGAGGAGCAGCCGGTATTTTGGCAGCAGGGATGTGGCCATCACAGTTGTCACATCCAACAGTGCCTTCACTCACCCCATGGGCTCTCCCCGGCCTCAGCCAGGACCTACATCACCTGCCTGGGGCTGGGTCTTGTTGCAGCCTTATTTAAAAATAAGAGCCCTCCTTTACGTTGTACTTTTTCCTCTATTTTTTGGCTCAAAACATCCTCAGGTAGTGCTGATGGGTCGAGGCAGGCGTTACCCCAGGCATCTCAGTCTCTGGTGGGGGGATCTTACGGACAGGGGGTAGGGTCCATCACATGCAGGGCAGGGCAGACCCTTCACCCCAGAGACTTCACTGCTGTCCTGGAAGCCTGCACAGAGGTGCTTCTGTCATCATCAAGTCTAGTGCCTCTCAATAACCCTTTGAACTTGCATCCACCTTCCCCTTAGTGTGCGCAGGGCTACACCAACGCTGGGGCAGCTACAGCGGCTGGGCAGGGGGATGCAGGGGCAGAAAACAAGGCAGCAGGTAGACGTCACTCCAAATTTTCAGCAGATAGCTAATTCTTTTTTTTCCTTCCCTAAAACATGCAGAAAAGAATCCCACAGACCAAGCTAGTTAGCTATTTCTTTATCCAACTCCACGTTTTGCGCCAGCTTTATGTAACTAAATCTGTATATGAAGACCTTACACTCGCAAGGGAAGAAGGATGGCACCACAACCACGCCCGCACACACAGAGCCAACACCATTTTCGGGGTGGGTGGAGAGGAGAAAAACAAAGTCACCAACTTTGTCTAACAGATGCACTGTAATATTAAATGAAAGCTTAAAATCTTTTAAGAAAATCCCAGCCCTAGCCTACCACTCCATCAGCACAGTACATAGCGTATGTGAGACCTGCTCAGCTCAGCACGTGCCTGAGGGCCAGCTGGCTTTGTTGGGCCAGTTCAATTCATGTTCTCCTGCCAGTCTGCGAGCACCACGAGAGCGGATGCCTCTCAGAAAAGCAGAGCATGCCTGCCACAGAAAAAGCCCTCACGCAGGTCTTAGGTCCCAATGGCAAATTTCTGCCAAGAGCTACACGAGAGTGCGACCTGGTAACTTCATCCTCGGAGCTCCAGCAATCAAGCAGCACATTACCATCAACGGCCGTTTAGATGCCACCAGAGCAAGGAGGTCCCCTGCGAGAAAGACAGCCGAGTAACCAACAGCTCGGGGTCTTTCCAGAGGGTGCCCAGGAGTTTCCAGATCTCTGCTTGTGTCCTTGTGCTGAAAGTGAAGGGTCTTCATGCGCGACGAGAGGATCGTGGGTGCTCCTCATCCTGTCCCCTCCTATTTTAAGATGATATGGTAGCTATCATTGGTTTCAGCTGCAAAGGAAGGAAAGCTCGTGAGCCACTTGCAACAGCAGAGGAATCTGCTGGGTTGAGCAGATCTGACAAGAGCTCCCCAAGAAGTATGGAAGGGAAATACAGGATGGAGCCTGGGCATTTACACACCTTTCATCGTGTCCAGAACGAAACAGGATTCGTCTTGGAAGTTCTGTATCATCTGAAAGAAGCCACAAAAGCCAGCTTAGTCTGAGGCTGTATTTAAACACAGCAGAAGTGCTTCACAGCCCTAAGTGAAGGCTCTGCGCTCTGCCATTCAGTGATGGGCAGAGATTTAGAGTACCGAAAGGGCTAGAAGCTGCTCAGGCAGGAGCTTAGTGCTCTGGGAGGGAGGAAAGGCACTCGCCATAAATATTTATTCCTTCCTCCAGCTCTCCAGAACTGAAGGTCCTAACCAGCAAACTGAGAGAGAAACCATCAGGTTCTGGGATGCAGGTCTGAAAGCAAAGTCTGCCCACAGCAATTCCCCTCCCTGTGTTTACAGCAAAGCTAGAATAAACCCAAGCATGAAGGAGGGTGCGCATGCAGCCTGGACTTGCTCAGAGAGGGCTGTTCCTGCTTGACAAACCTCACGGGTGTAAGTGAGGTGCTCCCGGCAGCAGAGCAGCATCCCCCAAGAGCCAACATCCTTGGCTCTGCAAGCTTCGACGATTAACGTTGACTCTTAGGAAACCAGAGGTGACTGAGCAGGGCCCTTCCTGAAGACCTGCCTGGGGGACCCGTTCCCCAGGGTCCTGCACAACCTCCACAGCAGAGCTCAGAGCACAATCAGACATGAATCAGCTGAAGCAACTCAGTGCAAGAGGTTGAAAACAAGGAGCAGCCAGAGGCTGTTACCTCATCACTGATCAGCACGTGTATCCCCGTCGGACCTTGCTTGTAAATCTGGCTGATCTGTTGGGAGGAAATGCTGAAGAGCTGGGCCAGCTTTTCCGTCAGTTCCACCGCCGTCAGTTCCTCCAGATAAATAGCGTGGTACACTGTGAGGAGGAGAACTATTACAGCTAGACACCGAGGGCAGCTTTGATGTCTACAATGTGGATGCGGAGATGCTTCAGCTAGTGCCACGCACGCTAGCCCGGGGCGCGGATGCTTTGAGGAGCATCGCAAACAGGCTGCGCTCTGCCCAGGAACATCCCAGCCCCGCCGGGAAGGAACCGTGCACAACTCGTCTATCGAGTGTTACTCTTCAGCAGCTTAAACACCCGCTCTGCTGCGCCTGACTCACGGAGCTATCACCTTTCCAAGCCCAAGCTGCTCACTCTACGTGCAAGCGCAGCGTGTCTCTGGTGTCTCCTCTTGCAGCATGCCCCCAGCTACACAAGCACCAGCTCCACAGTAACCCGGCTGTCACCAGTGGCCTGCAATACTTGCCCTCTATTTATGCAGCCCTTGCCCCAAAAAGCTTCTGTTTCAACTAGCATCAGCCAAGAAGTGTTTTGTACCATTCTTGGTGGTTTTTAATCCCAGCAGGATGGCAACACCGCCCTAGCACCTCCCCAGCACCCTGTTCCCCCACTCCCACAAGGCAGGTCCTGGGGGGAAGCAAGAGGATCCGAACTGGAGCAGGGCAAGGAAAGCACAAGCCATTTGCTTTTGCACTTGCCGCTCCAATCACGGAGGTGGATAAACCGGCGCCTGGCTGCTCCACAAATGTAGGTCACTCATTGTTGTCTGAGCAATGCTGGATTCTCACAGGGGCTATCATTTGTCTGCTCAGAGCAGGCAACATGCCGACAGTCAGATTCTGCAGCCCACCCATTTGGTGGGCAAGGAGAAAAATTGGCTGGGTAGGACTAAGGCAAGTAAAAAGGGTTTGCTGCAGTCTTGTGGCACCCGTACCGAAGGAGAGCGTGCAGAACCCCTCAGTTTGTGTACAGAGCCTGCATTAGGTTGCAGGTGAGCTCGCTGCTCCCTTGCAGTGAAGAGACAAGAATGTCAGCAGCTAACACGAGGTGTGGCAGCTGAAAACAATAACCACAGACTCTCTTCGAGCTGCTGTGTGGGCTCAGTAGGCTCTGGTAGCATTAGCAGCCCTGGCTGCAGGAGGGGCCTTTTGCCAGCCCAAAACCCACAGGGCAGTGGTGTGGGGACATGGGGATCGGAGGCAACTGATGCTGAGCACCCACGGGCAGCAGCAGCAGCAGGGCTGGGAACAGTCCCCACCGCATTTCTGTTTGTTGAACCCCCCCAGCTGTTATCCTCCTCCTCGCCCTATCGGTAGCAACCCAAGCCCATGTACCCCCAGCCAGGCTTCAAAGCCCTTACCAAAAAAAGTACTGGTTACTGTGTCCCTGTCCTCATGCTTCTGCTGGAGGTCCCTCAGCTGCTGGGACTCCTGGCACACGTAGATGGTCAGTCTGGGCCGCACCATCCTACGGACAGAGCAACGAGTGAACGCCATCAGATCTGCTCAAGGACCCTCGAGTTCCTGACACTTTGCCAGCGCTCTTCCCTCTGCAGTGTCCTCAGAAGGGAAAAAGGAGATCGACGAACTCATCTTGAAGGAAAACCATCGTGGTTGTCCCCACCTTGCTGATGCAACGAAGGTTTTTGCGGGAAGGGGATGCAGTTGGCACGGGGACATGGTGCCAGCTGGCTACTGAGCAGCTATCAGTCAGACGGTTCACTCCCGAGGACAGAGGACCAGGGTTCAGACCGAGCTCTGCTGGCAGCACGCATGCTCCTGCTCGTTCAGAGTCTCATTTTGCAGTGCAAAAGCCAGCCGCGTCTCCCGTCCTTTGTGCCCCTCTCCCCAGCACAGCGCGGCCGTCCCCCCGCTATCGGAGCCATCGGCGGCAGTGCATCAACCCCCCGGAGCGCTTCCCCCCTGCGTGGCTCTTGCTGCCCCACGCCAGACCTTCCCTGCAGGACACAGCCCACCCTGTGCCTCCCCGCCCGGCTGTGGCGTCGCCTTCTGAAATGCTCCAGCTCAGACAGGAGGACAGCTAAACACCAGTCCCTGCTCCTTCGGGGAAAGGTGTGAAGGGGTATTCCCTTTCTCGGAAGGTAACTGCTCTGAGGTCGTTCAGAGGATGGAGGAAACAAGTCCAGTATCACCCGGATCTTCTGGCTTGTGGCCTGGTCCTCTGACACTCAAAGAGTAAGTTCATTACCAACACTTCTCCCCCACGTGGGTTTTCTTCCCCAAATTGTCTCTGGAGCAGTTACGCTGCTCGCTAACTTACCAAATTTGACCGAAAGAGGTTCAGGAAGGTTAATGAAACTCCGTTCTCTCTAATGGCAAGAGCCAAGCAAACAGGCTAAACCAAATCCAAATTACCTACCAAACACAATCAGCTTTCAAGCAAACAACATACCGTCCTTTTAACGCGTTGAAGAGCCTGATGCCATCTGCAGGGCCACAGATCTGGATAACGTCTTCTCTGGTCAGCTTCAGCAAGTCTGCACCTACAGTTTTCAAAATCAAAAGGAGAAAGTCACACAATCCAGCCCAAAGTGTCCGGGATGGGGTGGCTCTGGGCACCGCACTCCCCCCGGCTCCCCTCACTCCCGCTCGCAGGGCTGACCCCATTCCCAAACGGCTTCTGCCAACGACCTCCCCCTGCTTCCCCCAGGAGGACACCTGCAAGACTTTTTTCCAGACTGGTTTTGCAAGACTCTGTTTCGGTACAACCCTGTGTCCTGTGTTATCACTTATGGCTGGCAACCCAGTGCCTCGGCGACCCTGGATGACGGAGGTTGTATCACCAGGGAGAGAGGAAAATAAACGCAAAGCATTTCTTCACAGACAGTGCTTTCCCCCAGATCAGCATTTCTCAGCTTGTTTTAAGACTGGAGGTTGCTGTGAGCTCCTGGAAGAAAAACCACCCCAGTCCCCACTGTTTTGCCAGTTGAGAGAGAGGTGAGAAACAAAGAACACCGCTTTCAGGGAGCCACATTTTATTGCTACAAAAAAATATGGGATTTTATAAACCATTTATATTTGCAACAGTAACATGAAGATGGCTTCAGGAGCAAGAGGAGGCAGAGCAACTTGGCACAGAGAAGGGGCAGACATGGAAGGGATGTCGTAACCTACCTGAGAAGTTTCTGAAAAGCCGAGAAAAAGTAGAGAAGCGGTTTCGATGCAGCCACTGTTGGGCCTCCTGGGGTGTGCTGGTGGGCAAGAGGTTCTGAAATGTAGGAGAAGAAGGGTCACAGCCTCAGAGGTGACGTGGAAGCATTTCCACTGAGGAATGAGCACAGGTCAGCTCAGTCAGTGTTTATAATCAGTCTTAAATCGAGACTCTAGTGAGCCAGGCTCACAGCACACGCACAACAGAGGCTGCAGCCTGGACAGGTTTTGATTTAAAAGGCTTCAGAGGGACAGAGAAAGAGGAAGGAAGCAAAGGGGAAAGCACAGTGAAGATCAAGGCAATAAATAAAGGTCACAGTGAGCTACAGAAAGCTTGCTCACAGCTCTGCATCGCTGTACCGGACATTTTTCACCCCGTCACCTCTTTTTCCAACTAGGAGTCAAAAAGAAGTTATAACTCCCCCAGGATGTTCAAGTAGAGCAGTCTCCTCCCCAGCAAACTACACCCACCCACAAACCCACCTCCCGCCCCATCCCCAAATCCCATTTTCTGACCTGTGCACCGTCCTTACCACAAGCATAAGCTCTGAGGTGTGACTTACATCTGCGATTGGAGGGGGTGGCTCGGGCTGATGGTTTGGAGAGCCATTGCTGGGTTGGGGACAAGAGCCAGACAGAGCAGAACACGAGGTTAGCGCTGCTCTTCCCCTCGAGGCACGGGATCCCAGCAGGCAGCAGCCACCACCCTCCCGACCCCATAACCACAGACCACCGAAACACAGGGACAGACAGCTCCGTGGCTGCAGCCACACTGTCACTGCTGCAGTGCAATGCTTTGCAAGAACAAACGGCTTACGCTGGAGTTTTAACACAAAGGGGAAAGGCAGAGCGAAGCAGGCTGGAAGCTGAACTGCTGCTCGAACGCATGCAGGCTTCTCGTGCAAGAGCCCAGCTGTGCTGCAGCCAGGAGAGTAACAGCACTCAGCTTCAAGGGCTTTAATTTGATTTTTCCCTCAGACACAGACTCTTAGGCTACTTCCACCCCTCTGTACACCTTGGAACCAGGCCCGCCCTCTCGCTAGCAGTCACTGCCAGCTCAGACACACCAATCGCTCGTGCAAGGCAGAAATCGATCGCCAGCCAGCCTCTTCTCCAGACCTACCCTTCGCCAATGGAAAAACTGCTGTGGGAACTGTTGAAGCCAGGGGATGGTGCGTTATTGACGTACGTTATCTCTGGCCAGGGAGAACACTAGAAAGGAAGACCCAGAAAAGTCACAGAATTGCTTTGAGCAAGCACGCACATCTGCTCTGGTCAGCACAGGTTAACAGCTATTTGCTGACGGACAACTGGCCATGAAACAGAATTAAAGAATAAAGCAGGGGATTAAAAGAAGCCATGCCAATTAACTGCAGACGGTCACGAAGCTCAGATTTAGTGATTCTTAATCCCAGAAGGTCAAAAGCCACAAAATTCAAACACAGTGAGATCTGTGAGATCTAAACCATTGCTCCGGCACCGGGCTGACACAGGCGGCACCCGCCAGCCTGGGCGCCTCCGTGCAGCAAGTCCCGCAGCGGGTCGAGCCCGAACCAGGCACTGGGGAGCATCCCCAGATTCACCCAGGGCAGCACGGGGGCTCCCTCCCCAGGGCTGCCCAGCACCAACCCCTCAAATGGTTGCATTTTAGTAAAATGACACTTTCCACTAGCACAGGGAGGAAACAACGGCGTTTTCTGCCAGCTCACAAACTTGGTGGCCAGTTGCCACATGGGCAAAACGAAGCCTGCAGGGAGAGGTAAAAATCTTTTATTAGATGGTCTATTACAGTGGGGGAAAACCCATCGCGTCTCCAGGCACAAAAGCCCTTTTTCAGCTCTAGTACAAAACAGCTCCTCTGCCTACAAAATTTATCTTGCTTTTGTCTTGCAGCTATTAACAACTTGGCCAAACGTTTCACAGCAGAACAGCCAGCTCCTTGCCCCCTGTGAGCGAGGTAAGCCACATTCTGTTAAAGAACGATGCCAGCTGCTGCACGAAAGAGCACCCCACCTCTGTGAGTATCGTGGTTTCGTAGGAAGGCTGGTATTTCTCTTTCTCATGAGGTGTTCGCTTCTCCATCTTTTCCCTGTCTGTCTTCTGCTTCCGATCGGCTCCTTTGGGCTGGAAAGGAGATATTCCTGTTAGAACAGCAGCGTGGAAGAGCAGCAGCAGACAGCTGGATAGATGAGCAAGAAATGCAAGAACCAGAAAAGGTGACTCATCCTTCCACTCACCCACTTGTTGCTTTACAGAAGGAAAAGGAAGAGGGCTGGGACTATCTGCACAGAGAATTTATGGTGACAGCATCATTTCTGTAACAACCCCAATATCCTGATCTACCCACGCCCCTAAAATGGGGCCCAGAACACTTTGCAGAAGAAACTTCTCCTGACAGAGGCCAGTTTCTGGTATCACATATCTGAGCTGAGTCACCTGTACTTTCATCAACCACGTTGAGAGGCAGCATCTCAGTGGCACAAACTGTACCAGAACATGAGAGCGCTCAATTATGTCCTTGCCTTTGCCACAACCTTGAAAAACCAGGCACTCTCATATGCAAGATTAAGATGATTTTACTTGCTGCTTTTATCAAATGCCCAAAGCCATAGGGAAAGCAGCACCTAAGAGTGCCATCGTAACACCAGAGCTACCCCAGTGCTCCCCTCCGTAGAACCCTAAAGAAATTACCTTAAAACTTGGCTCTGCCTGCACTCCCAAGTGGAAGGAATTTGGCCTTGGTGGACCAACACAGCTGCCTGCCAACACGTGGATGCCTCCTGAGTGGACAAGCACATCCACAGCACCGGCGGGGAAGCCGTGGACCGCAGAGACAGCCGGGTACCACTGCCTTCCTGCTCCCCCAAGCTCCACATCTCTCTTCCTCTGAACAGCAAAGCTGAGACCTGAACAAGCTACCGTCATGCTCCAAGCTGGGCGAGGAGGTGCTGCTCAGCTGTGGTTTGATTAGCCAGTTTCTGCCATGAAAATCTAATGGTTGTTCTTATCTTTCCACAGTCAGCACTACTGCTTCTGGCAGCTAGAAAGGATTTGTGCTCCAGACACTGACGAGTGCAGGTAAGGGGCCCTCAGTGGCTGTTGTGAAAGCATGGAAATGGTCCCAGCTCTGAGGGGCAGAGAAAAGAAGGAGCAGGGCAGGAGCTCAAATCACATTAACTCACAAAAGACACCCTTCACGTTAACTCACGAAGGAGACCCTGCGGTGAACACATCTCACACAGGCCCAGGTAAACACACCCATGGTGTTGAGTCTGCCACCCAAAGAGCCCTGACCCCAGGAGAGCGGCTGCATCAGACGAGCAGGAGGTAAGACTGAAACCATCAGAGACCATCCTCTGCACGGAGATCGTGCCCTGAAGCCACAGCCTCACCACTTTGGGTTCTTCTGCTTCAAGGTCATCAGAGCCAACAAAAAATAAACCCCACACCCTGGCATAAAGAGCTGAAGCTCAGTAGAAATGCAGCACCAGGTGCTTCGCAATCTCACGATCCTGTTTGAGACCAGCCTTACCCCTGAACTCCCAACTCTGCAGCCATCCGCTTGGACTGTTTGCATTGAAATACCAGCCAGAGCTCCAACAAGCCCTAACAAATCACACTCCTGCCTTCAAAATGTTATAAACCAAACAGGCAAAAGAGAAAAAAGAGAAGGGGAAAGGTGCCAAGCCAACAGCAGCGGGGCACGCTGCCCGATATCCGACAGCAGCTTCACGGCCGAGCTGCAAAGCAGCACAGGCACCCGGCCAGGCAACCGACCCCACAGCACGTCAAGCGTCCCGAAAGGGAGAAGAGAGGAGCCACGGACGAGATTTTGCAGGGTGTTACGGGGAGGACAGAGTGAGGGGCAACCTCGGTGTACCAGCTAGCGTGGGCACGGCGTGTCCCTGCTTATTCCCCACACAGCCACCCCCACGGCACGGCACCTGGGCGCTGCTGCACGCACGACCCTTCTCAGCCACCCACGCCAGCGTGCTGCTGCGGCTGCCACTGCCACGCCGTGGCTCTGGGTTTCTGCAAACAGTCTGCAGCGGGGACCAGACGCCTGCGCCGCTGGGGAGGCTGAAGCAGACGGACCATCAGATGCAGACGGACCATCAGCAACAGGTAATAATAAAGTGAGGAGTTTAGACAGACACCAAAGCTCCGTGGAGGATCTCCCAAGCTGGTAAGACTCAAGACTAAATATGGGAGGTTTCAGACAGAAGCAACACAACCCATATTCTCCCTGTTCTTGGCTTACTGGTTTTGTAGCCTCAACAGCATCCAGACTCAACTGGCAGAGTGGAACCAGGGAGAGAGCAGCAACGCGGGACCAGAAGGACCGAGAGGCCCTTTTGCAGGCAAGCTCATTATTGGTCCTGCACCCACGACGCTCCCAGTGGCTTCAGCGTGAATTGGGACTGACTCCCAGCTTGTTTCCTAGCAGGGCAAGGCCACCAACAGGCCGAGGTACCTTGAAGACCTTGATCTGGCAGCTGGCAGAGTGCAGGTGCTCCGTGTACTCCCCGTTCTCATTCTCCTTGAACGTGTCTATCTGGACTCGGAAGGGCACCCCCTTCTCTCCTCCATGCTTCCGCATGGTGAACTCCGTGCTGATACAGTGAACCTGGGGGAAGGCAAAGCACCCTGCAGTTACTCAAACACGGCAGAACTACTGACCACAAACTTCCCATTCCCCTCGTGGGAGCCAGGACAGCGCTGGCGGAAAGGGCAGCCCCGTGAGAAGGGTGAAATACAGAGTTGGGATGGGATCACAGCAAGTACCCCCAGCATGAAGGAGTTAAGGGGATGCCACAGGAGAGGTGGAGCCACATTCTTCCAACAAGTTTTGCAACCTCTTAATGCTAGAAGCAAGCCCTGTTTCAGCAGTGCACAGAGTTCCCAGCCTCCACTCGCTGCAGGCTGTTACTCTAGGCTGGAAGGCCAGACTTCCAAGAGGTATTTTAGGCAGCTGGAGAGATGTGCAAAAGCATCTAAGCAAGATGGAGACCCAAATCATGAAACCAGGGGGACCCAAACCACCACAAAAATGTGTAAAACAACTTATTGGTAGTCAACTGTGCCTATGCCTTGCTAGCGCATGAACTGTTGCTCTCTTGCATTGCCTGAGGCAGGAGGTTGGGTGCATTTTAGCTGACATCCCTCTACCACTGTCGCATCTGGCTGCTCCTTCAGCGCTCTGAGTCAAAAAAAGCATCCTCCCTCCTTGGAAAATGTATTTTTTCCTCTAGACCCCGGCAACAGGAGTTTCTCCATTTCCCCTCTTTTACCTGGATAAACACAGAAGTCCTCTTTGAAGGATCCCACAGAAACTCCACTGTATTGAGCTGGGTTGGGTTTGCTCGAGGGTCGATGATGCCCACGGACATTGGGATATCTGTTGGGGCACATGGAAGAACAAGCTGCGGTTTGTAGTAGAGAGAGTAGGAAGAGATTCACAGGGAACACATGGAAGAACCAGCCACGTCTCTCAAAGTGTAGAATGGTGACAGCGCTTTGACCCTTAAAAGTCAGTGGACCAGGAACCCAGCTGGAGGCACTCCAGGAACCCTCATCAACTCCAGTCCCAGCCCGGGTGCTGCCGTGGGGACTCACCTATGTCCAGTATCCTGTCCCCAGGCCTGTTCCACCGCCAGCCCTCCAGCTGCTGATGCTCCGTGTACTGCAGCCGCCGGTCATGGAACACCACCCGGAAAATGCTCTAGAGGGAAGAAACAGTCAGTGCTTGGAGCTGCCCCAGGAAACCCGACAGTCTTCAAGCTGTGAGGCATTTCCCAGTCACAGAGGGGAGCAGAGGGGCCTGAGGGCTTCATGGAGAAGCTAGAGCAATAAAAGAAAGCGCAGACAGACCTTTGGGCCAGAAGCATGAAGGCGGCAGCTTATCCTTCCCAAACACTAAGTGATCAGCAATTGCCTCTTGGCTTGACCCCAGGCCCCATGAGACTGGTTGGAGACCACCAGCCAGGCCGGCTTCAGCAAGGTGGGAGAAGGAGAAAGGGCAAATAAAGCCCCAACCAAGCCAGAGCTATCCCACACGCTGTCAGAGGCTACTGCAGGGACGCAGGACAAGGCCCTGCTCGCTGCTCCATACAGCGGGGACGGCCCCAGCTGGACACGCGCACCCTCGCTCTCTGCTCACCTTTACCAGTTTCCCATTTATCTCTGGCAGCTCCCCAATCTTCCTGTTGTCCAGCATGCGGATTTCATAGGACTGCCCTGAGGGGAAGAAGACAAGGGCACCTTGCAGCTAGTCAGGGATGAACCTTCACTGCTGCCATTCCTCTGACGTTTTAACATTTTATGCCACATTAGATATGCCACTTGATCTTCTTGCTATGTCTTAGTGTGTGTGTGGGGGGGGGGTCATACGAGCTCTGACGCCCCTCTCCAGAAAGAGATAATCCTCCCACTTCCTGCAGCAGCACTTTCCAGGAATTACCTTTATTAACCCAAGACCAAGAACAGGGAAGAAATCGATTACACAAGCCTCGTCTGACTTTGGTCGACAACCCTGATCTTCCAGTTCTACTTGAAAGCAGCGGGTACAGCTTGAACCTGTCAAACATCCCCCCTGCACAGCACCCCAGCACAGATACACCAGGTAACCACCTTACATCATGCAGACTTTAATTAGGTTAAATCCTACAGGTGAAGGAGGTGGCACTTCCAAACAAGAGCAATCTGGAGTTTACTATCGAGGCATTTTCCACTCCCAAGTGGAAATTTCCAAAGGCAGAATTTTATTTTTGAAGGTGTTTACACAAGGTGCACACAGCCTGCGGAGGGCATGGGGCTCCTCTCACCTTGGTTGAGATAGGTGAGTGTTTCATCGTGGAGCTTTACAGCAGGTGAAGTGGCGGCACACAGCACGTACTGGAAAGGCAGAATTTTGTTCTCGTTTTCAGGAGGCAAACTTGATTCTTCCTGCTTGAAGATGGGCAGGGCAAGGACGTCACTGCGAAGAGATTTGTCAGACAGATTCATTTCAGCTCTGGCTACAGAGAGATGATGCGTTTGGTATTTAGTTCCTCCTCCTAGGAAGAGCTTTGAGCTTTTTTTAGTTAAAAAAAGAACACATACCCTGCCATCTCTCTGCAGAACTGCAAAGGAGCATTAGAGCAGACTGAGTAGTCTGAGAAGAGGATCTGACACCTGCTCTTGCTAAAGCTTTTTCCAGGTTAGCCTTCCTATCCATCCAAAACACACACATTTCTAGCTTCAAAGCTAAGAGACAACCGAGTTTGTGTTTCAGACCAAAGCCCAGCTCCTCTGGCAGTGCCACTCCTGCGCCACTTGCGCATCAGCGCAGAGCTGCTGCAGAGACGCATGCAGAACGACCTCTGTGTCGCGCCGATGAACACCCGTCCCCTTCCTCCTGGTACCAGCCTGCTCACCTCTGCCGGCAAACCGGCCCCTAACCCCTTCCCCTGCTCCCAGCAGGGCAGCCAGGAGCCCGTTTATCCTCCAGGAGGGGCTTGGCAGGAATTGGAAGTCTCGCTCAGGTCAAGGTCGCCGACTTTTTTCACCATCACCTCCTCTGTGCTTCTAAAAGCTCCCCAATGTCCCAGAGAACAGGAGCGTCGGCCAAAATGCAGGCAGAGACCTTGGGGCATATCGGGTGGGGAGGACACGTGGTCAGAGCACCAAACCCCCCCTCCCTGTGCTGGGTGCTGTGGCGTCATTTCTAGTAGCGGAGGGGGGAGTTATAGCGGTGGCCGCTCTGAGAAGCTTCTCAAAAGCTCCAAGTCGGACCCCGCTCTGGCCAGGGCCGAACCCATCAGCGACGGGAGAATGGAGTTAAGGAGGAAAACCTGGGAGGGGGTTGGGGCTCGCGAGGAGGAGTTGTGAGAAGGACAAACACCCCGGTCGGTGGAAGAAAAGAGGAGGAGGAATCGGGGGAGGTGTGCGGGAGCAGAGACCCCTGCGTCCCGGGGGGAGAGGGCAGGGCCGCCCACCCTGCCACCCCTGGAGGTCCATGGTGGAGCAGGGGCCGGCCTGCAGCCTGGGAAGGAGCCCACCCCGGGACAGGCGGCTGCACCTCGTGGAAGCCGGGACTCTGAGGGGAGAAGCGGCCCCGCTGTTGTGGTTCGGCGCTGGGAGGGCTGCGACACACGGGGGGCCCACGCCAGAGCAGCGTGGGAGCGGCTGCGGCCCGTGGGGAGGACCCACTGCCGAGGAGGTTCCCGGAGGAATGTCTGCAGTGAGAGGGGAGCCCCGGGGAGCTGGGGAGGAATGTGCGGTGCTCCCCCACCTCCCGAGAAGGAAGGAGCGGCGAGCTGGCTGTGACCCCCATCCCCTGCCCCCTGCGCTGCTGGGGAGGTGGAGAGGTGGGGAGCAGAGCTGAGCCCGGGGAGAAGGGAAGGGTGGGGAGGTGCTCTTGGGTGTGGTGGCACTTCGCACTGTCCTATTCTGTTAAGTGCTGTTGTGGTTAGGGTCTGAATTAAATTTATGTTCTTTTTCTTCCCCTAACAGGTCTCTCTTTTGCCAGTGACCATAATGGGGGAGCACCCCTCCCTGTCCGTAGCTGGATTCCTGAGCCATTTTGCTTCATCTCCTGCCTATTCCTGAGAGGGGAAGGAGTGAGTGAAGGGCTGCGTGGTGCTCAGTTGCCCTCTGGGTTCAAACCACAACACTCCCGCAGCCGTAACCCACTGCACAACATACACCAGCATCTTGGTGGAGCGAATCCTGCAGCCTCTGACACAGGGAGAGCCCTCCCAGCATGAAGGCAGGAGGAGGTAGATCTCCAACTTTCTCCACACTCATCAGTAAGGCCCCAGACCCTTTGTGCTGCTCACCACACAACCAGCCAGCTCTGACCCGAACCGAGAGCTTGGGATGCCCACGGAGGTCAGAAGATGCTGCATGTCATGGGTGGCACAGTCCACGCTGTGGGTCCCCATGCCATGGGCCGTGGGACAAACCAGACCCTGGCTTCTGAGACAACTTCAGGCACCTCTTTCATACCTCACAGGCGTTTCTTGCCAAAAGCCACTGCAACTCCGGCCCAGCCTACATTTAAGGACAAAAGGAACTGCTTTGGGGAGCCATCAGGATGGTTTCACCACGAAAACCTGCAACAGCCCAAGCACCTTCCTGGCTACCAGGCTGTAGGAGAGGAGTTGTGTGGGAGCTCCATGCCATGCCACAGAGCCGCTCCAGCTGGCACAAGCCTCCGCTCATCGGCCTCTGGATGCTGTCACACCGCGCTCAGCACCGGCTGGGAAAAGTGAGGGGGTTCAAGTCCCATGCCACCAACTTTTCCCTGGAGAAGGATGTCTCCAGGTCTTTGCAATTACGCAGGAAGCTTGCTGTCTCCACTGCCACGTGACCACAGACATACTCCAAAGGCCACGTGGCAACAAAAACTTGCTGAATAATGTTAACTTAAAAATCATCAGTGATACCCCTGAGCCTATGGACACATATTTAATAGAAATTTTTCCAGAAGCTGACTCTCAGCAGTTGTTCTGAGCCATAACAATGGCCAAGAGCAATTACTCCGTGGTGCACAAACCAGAACATCCTCCCACTCACCCACACGAGCAGAGCCCGGAGCAAAAGCAGAGCCCAGGCAAACACGCTCGAGCACGAATGCGACCGCAGAGCTGCGGATCGGCTGCCAGGGCCACCCAGCGCCATCCCACCACCCCCAGGTGAAACGTGGCACAGGGACAGAGCCATTCGGGTCCCTTCCAAGGGCAGCAGTGAAGCACCAAGCCCTGAGGAAGAGTCAGGTCGCCTGCCCCTCCTCTCACAGGCTTTGGGCTCGCAGGAGTGCAAGGAAGGAAGAGTTAAATCATCTAGTTTTTCTTTAGTTGAACATTAAAAACCCTTCCCAAGGGAAAACTGCACTTACCTGGCCAAATACCAGCTCCCACCCTAACAGGGTTTTAACCCTTTGGCCTCAAGAGACTACATATCCACCCTTCCTCCAACACTGTGCAAGTAACACCCACCACTGCTGCGCAGACCCGAGCAGCAGAGACCTTCCCTGCCCAAACCCCAACTTACTGGACATTACACAGAGCTGCGCAGATGCCCCGGTCTTTGCATCAAGGCACGTGTACACAATTAGGGAAATTACATAACCCGGAGGATGAACTTCCCTGCAGCTTCATCTCATTAGCAGAGGAACAGCGTTTCCTCCCACAGAAGGATTTCTTGCCCGGGCAGGCTGCTGAGACAGGACAAAGCATGGATGCTACTGATCCCCGTAAGGAAGAACAGGGCGCGAGGACGGGGCAGACCAGAGCTAACCTGCTGTGCCCAGAGAGACAGGAAAATTAATTTAAAGGCTACGCCCTGCACGAATTCTCCCAGCAGCTGGAGAGACGCAGGATGCACTTTTCCTGCACACAAATGTTCCTTTTCCTTGTAGGCTTTGACATAGCAATGCTTCAATCCCGCTTCTGCAGCCTCAGGACAGCCTGGTTTTTGCTCGTTCTTTTGCTTTGCATCACACAAAAACAGGCTGGGTGAGGAAGAGGCAAAGCTTGATGTGACCTCCCTGCACGGAGAGCCAGCAAATCACAGTCATTCCGGCTTTCACTCACTTCTCCCGTGCACGCAGAGCGCTCACGCGATGCCGGATCCTCGCTACGCAGCACAGCTGCCTGCTGTAATATTACAAGCTGCTTTTCACGGCTCCAGAAGCTCCACATGGCCACTAACACCACTCGGACGCCTGCCAAGAGGGATGGCAGAGCAAAACCTCCTGCAAAACCTCCCCAAACCCAGCCTCTAGATTTGTATTCACTAAGACCCTGCACAACACCCACGTTTTATTGCAAGCTGCAAAAAGGTAGTTGCATCCCTGTATTTCTGGGACAAGACTCCAACCCAATTAATCAGGAATAATCATCAAGCAAATGAGGGTTTGCTTTTGCAAGCTGAGCTGCTTTTGGTGTCACCGCACACATGGACAGGTTGGTTGAGCATCATCATGACACCCCTGCATGCGAGGAGAGATCCTTTGACATCACAACGGCCTTGGGTTTTGCCAAGAGCCCCTCGGCCGGGACCTCCGGTTGTTCAGACACCGTTACGCGTCTCTGCTATAGGACTCAGGTGAAAGGGTCAGCTGCACGTGTTGCAGGGCACAGTAAAAAACCTAAATATCTACAGAGACAACATGGTTATAAAACAGCAAGGGAAAGCTCGGTAGCTCCCGGGCCTGGCACCTTCACAGCATCTCCAGGGGAAGAACAACCTCAGCTACCTGCAAACGGCAGCAAAACGCCACAGCTACGGCCAGCAAGGTGATTCACGGTGGCTCAGAAAGCACTTTGTTATTTTGCCTCCTGCTAGTCTCCCACCAAGTTCAAGAACAGTCATTTTGTGGGTTGTTTAGGGAGAGCTGGGAAGCTGCAAGTCCTTCAGGTACTGACGTCCCACGAGCAGCCCCTGGCGACGTCCCCGTATGCCCAGCGTGGCCAAACCGAGCTGCCATCAGCAGACTTTTCCTTAGACAAACCCACACATGGTCCTGACTGCTCCAAAGGCACCTGGAGAAGTTCCTGCAACTCCTGGGGACACACCTGCCTTTAAAAAACCCCCACAGTATTTCACTGTGCAATTTAACACGCTTTGGGGGAAAGATAGTTCACTTAAGGCCTCTGATTCTGGAGCAGGAATCTCCTGGAAAAGAGGAAAACAAATAATTACAGAAACACTCTGCTGCAGATGGAAGTACTCAGACAATGCCCGATTATCACCATCAAAGCCACCTCTGCTCTCCTAAAAACCTCATTCCAGGGAACAACAGTAATGCCAAGAATTCAGGTTCATTAACAAACACTAAGCACAATCCTACCATGCAACTCAAACGAGAAAAAGCTTCCAGCCAAGCAACAGCCCTCATCCTCCTCCACCACCTACCAGCGCTCGTTCCCAAGGCAGTAACGTGCCTCTTCCATAGGCAAGAGGGATGAAAGGAGAAAACCCCCACGGGGCAAGCACAGAAAAAGCCACAAACACGCTCAAAACCCGAGGTGCCTGTTGAAACCTTTCCCCCCTTCCTGCGACACGGAGAGAAAATGTCAGATGTCAGGACAGGAAGGCTGGCAGGCTCACCTACGGGGGCACGCGCTCTATTTACAGGCAGTGTAGGTCAAGAAAAGGCTCCGAAAAAGCGTCAGGTTTCAGACGGCCGAGCGAGCCCTGCAGAGAGCACAGCTCAGCAGCAGGTCAGGCTCGGAGCAGCGGCACAGCCACCGCGCCGCTGACACGGAGCTCAAAGCCCTTTTGCACCAGTAATCCCAGCGTGGAACAGCTCTGCAGGGGGTTTGGTGCACAGCGTGGGGACACGCAGAGCTGCGGCCCTGGGAAACCTCTGCTCTAAACTCTGGCACTGAAAACCGGTGCCCAGTGGGTCAGCTGCGGTAGGGAAAGGATGTAAATGCTCTGAAGCTCGGAGCTGCAAGATTTCCTTCTGCAGTTAAAACTCTGATGCACAGTCAATGGGATTTAGCTCAACAGAGGCACGGCTACCCATTAAGATGATCCGTGAGACCTTCGCTCGCCCTCTCTGAGAGAGGAACGTTTGTGCATGGGACCCTTTGCCCAAAAGGAAGGGGAAAAGAGAGGAAAAAGAGATTCAAAGCTTCACGACTTCCCCCGCCCCAAAGCAGAGCTGGACCTCTCCTGCACATGTTGGAAACTCATTCCCTTCCTCTCAATCAAAAGTAACAAAGGAGGAAGAAGCCCTCTCCGAAAAGCTGCCAGTCACAGCACTCGGTGTTGCTATCGACGGAGAGGCGACGGACGTGCTCCCTCCGAGCTCCCACACCTTTGGGACTTGGGTTTTTTTCCCAAGCATTCCAATTAAACAAACCCCAGAGGTTGTGACAGATCCTAACAGTGGCCAGGGATAACTTTGGGAAGGTGGTGACTCTCCTTGTCTCTGGAAGGAAGGAGAGACGGAGGCTGGCTGAGAAAAGCTGCTCTTCCACTTCCCCTGGAAAAGGCCAGCAGGCTGGAAGCTGCTTTCCAGCTTATTTTATCATGAGCAATCACCCAATGGGTCATTTCCAAGTCCTCTGACTTTGACCATTTCCCATTGCAGCCCCCTCAGAAAGCCCCAGTCTTGTGTCAAGGTGTCCTCTTGGGGCATCCTCCTCCTGGATGGCTTAACCTCAGCCCCAACCTCCGAACCTTTCTTTCCTACCTGCCTGCATACCTAGCTCCTGCCTTGGGTCTGCAGGGTGGAATCCATCTCCTCCTCCCTTCCACCCGAGGAGGATCCCAGGACGACAACAAGCGGGACAAAAGTCACACCTGAACTAAAAAAGCTCTCGCCCCAAATGACACCAAGGCAGCTCTCTTGCAGATGGCACTGGATCTGCATGAGCCCACGACGGAGCTAATCAATCGAGGACGGCAGCGGAGAAGCGCGCGGCCACTCGCAGACCAACCTGGCAGACCCTGCCCAGGCCCACACCTCCCCCACGGGCTGCACTTGCCCGTTATAACTCACGCCGCCAGGAACGAGGCGCTATGGGGTCTCACACGGCGAGCACGGGGCAGTGCTTTGGCCTCACTGCGGCACGGAGGCTCAGCTGAGCCGCTGGACGCCGGGAGCGGGAGGGCGGAACAGGGAGGCAGGCTGGGACCCATCTCTGGAGCACGGGCCACGTATTTGTGCTGCAGGGTTTGAGCATCCAACACTACGAGGCCCCAGTCCTGAACGCTGCCCTCATGCCCGGGGCATCTGACCCCATGGCGGGTCCTGCTGCTCTCCTCTGCTCCCAGGTTAGCTCGGAGTCAGGACGGAGCTAGTCTGACCTGAAAATATCACACTGGTGCTCCTCTGGGAGGGTAATTAATTAGGGCAAAGTACTGCTCCTGAGGTGACCACCGTATGCTGCATAAAACCAAAGCAACTGGCCACGGGCTCTTCCAACCAGCAGCAGAGAAGCGCAGGACCAGCGCTGGATGATTTACCTGCAGTTTGAGAATACCAGGAGACCAAAGACCAAGAGCGGTGCTGGGGCTGCACAGCCCCACACCCTCAAGCACATCCACCCCTCTGAAACGGCTGCCCAGTGACACCCCCCCCCCCAAAAAAAGCCCTGAGCGGCCAACGGGCTCTTCGCACCCGCGACTCCATCCCGGCTTCACGTGGCCACCACCACGTCCCAGGGCTGGTGCTGGAGCCCAGCGCCCGGCTCCCTCCCGAACCATCCCCTGGTGCCACGCTGCAGCCGCCCAACGGCTCGGTCCCCCGTCTTCCTGGGCACTTTGGGGCTCTGCAGCCTCCCCCAAGCCCCCCGGGGACGCCAGCCCCTCTCCCAGGTGCAGGATGGACCCCTGAGCAGCCCACCTACCTCATGCTGTAGGCCCCAGCGCCCAGCTCCTGGCCGATGCCCGAGAGGCTGGCGTCAAAATCCTGCACCAGCCCCGACTCGATCACCTCGTCCGCCAGCGGCAGCTTCAGCGCCCAGGCCATCCTCACCCACCGGCGCGGGGCGCAGGCCCCGGGCGAGGGGGCCGCGTCCCCCGTGGAGGAGGGCAGCGGGGGGGCTCCTCGGCGGGCGCCCCGGTGCGTCGCCCCTCGCAGCAGAGAGGTAAGCTGGCTCCCTGCTGCTCCCGGGGGGGCACCAGCACCCCCCCCCCCCTTGGGGAAGCCTCTCCTGGGGTGGCTAACGGGGGTACCCCCGAACCCACTGCAGGGGGCCCAACCCAAACCCACAGCCACCCCCCCACCCCCCCAAGCTCCTCAGACCCCCTTCCAAGGAGCCTGACTACTCCTGGACACCCCCACCCAGGCCTACAGGCGCCCACGCCGGACCCTCACCCTCCGGGGACCCCCAAACTCCTCAGCGCTCCCCCCAACAGACCGCACCCCCGGGGGACCCCGGCCCGTGCTGACCCCCCCCTCCAGGGGCTGCACCCCCAGGGGACCCTCCAGCCCTCCCAAAGCCCTACGCACCCCTCGAGGGGCTGCCCCCCGGCCCCCAAGGGGGCTGGCTTAGCCCCAGGCCCCCTCAAAGGCCAAAGTGCCCCCCCCCCCCCCCCCACCGCGCACCCCGAGCCGCGGGCCCCGCAAGATGGAGGCGGTGGCGCCGCCAACCCCCCACCCCCCCCCGCCCCCGCTGGGGAGGTGGCTCCGCCCCTCCCGTCGCGCCCAGCCAATAGGAGCCGCGCGCCCCCGGGTGACGCGCGGCGGGCGATAGCCAATGGAGAGCTCCGCGCCGGCCCCGCCGCGCGGGGATTGGCCGGCGGGCGGGGCGCGAGCGGCGCAGCGGGAGGCGCTGGGGGCCCGTGCGGCGCCTCGGCGAGGGCGGCGGGTTCGCGTCCCGGCCCCGGCCCCGGCTCGGGCGTGCGCTGAGTTGCGGCGGGTCTCAGCCGGCGGCGCTTTCCTCCCTCCCCGGGGCTGCGGGGATCGACGTCGGCCCAGCTCCATCCCCGCAGGCGCTTCCCCCCACGCCCGGCTGCCGGGGCCGTGGGAAGCCGCGGCAGGGTGCCAAGAGCAGCCCTCCCTCCGCGTCCCCCAGCGTTTGGGACCGGGCAGGGTGAGCAGGGACGTCGTCCCCCCCCCCCCCCCCCTTTCCCCCTCCTCCCACCGCCCCCCCGGAAAAAAGCGGAAAGGAAAAGAAAAAAGAAAAATACTGTTTATTTCACACCACTACATCAAGTGCATCAGTCTGCCGTGTCCCCCACAGGGTGGCCCGGCGTCCCCTCCCGTCCCCCCCAACATCCTCCCCTCCAGTCGTCACCTCCCCCCACCGCTGCTCGGGCAGGAGGGGGTGAGGGATGGAGCCCCCCCTAACCCGCCTGACCCCCAGGCTGGGGGGGGGGGGGGGGCGGGCAGGGAGGAGGTGCTGCCTCCGTTATGGGGTTCGCCCCCTCCCCAAGCCCCCCTGGGACAGTGGGGATCCCAGTGATGTCCCCGGCCCCCACCCACGGCAACGTCCCCACGGTGGGGGGGTCGCACGAAGAAGTCCCTTGTGCTGGCGGGGAGGAGGCAGGGGACTGCCAAAAATCAAAGTGGGGGTGAAACTGAACTGGGGTTTACCCCTAGCGACCCATGACACTACCTCAGAAACACGGGAAAACGGCCAAAAAATGAAAATCACTCTTTTTTTTTTTTTTTGGGGGGGGGGGGGGGGGAGTAACGCCACTTGGGGGGCAGGAGAGGCGGTGCGTGCTGGCCAGGGGGTCCATCACCATGCACGTTACAGGCAGGAGGAGGCATGTGGCAGGCGTGACACCCGACACGAACACGCTTAGGTCATGTGTGATGTGAAGAAAGGGGGACAGACACACGGACACACCTACGGGCACGGTGGGGGTGGTGGAGACCCCAGCACCCACCGCGGGGCCGGGGGACGAAGTCGGTGGCAAAAGTGCTGATGGCAGGAGGCCGGGGTGGGCACCGGGGGGAGGGCGTCCCCGTCCCCGGTTCAGGGGATCTGAAAGACGTTGAGTTTACTGGTGTTTTTGAGGGTCTGCCGGCGGTTGCAGAACCAGACGCGGACGACTTCGCGGTCGTAGTTGAGCTCCTTGGCGATCTCGGTGATCTCCTGGCCCGTGGGCAAGGCGTTCTTCTCGAAGTAGGCGTTGAGAGCCTCGATGGCCTGGGGGGTGAAGGAGGTACGGCGCTTCCGTTTTTTGGAGGGTTCCCCCCCAACAAATTCCATCAGGTTTTGTTGCCCCTCTTGGTTACGGAGCTCAGCTTCGCTCAGCCACTTCTCCAGCACCGGTTTCAGCTTCTGGGCGCTCTTGGGGGTGATGTCCAGCTTCTCAAACCTGCAGCAGGCACCGAGAAACCCTCAGGGACGCGGCGAGGATGGGGGGAGGACTGGGGGGGCACAGCTCCGGGGCAGGGCTGGGGGCACCGCTGCCTTCGGCGGGCGAGACCGCGGCAGGGAGTGACACCGCGGTGAGAAGCTTCGCGGGCAGCGACCCCCACCCCCCTTTTCCCCCCTTTTCCTCCTTGCCTCCGAGCTTCCTCCCTTTCCCTAATTTTCCTCTTCTCCAATTTTTCTCCATTTCTCCAATTCTTTCTCCCTTTCTCCAGCCTTCCTCCCTTCCTCCCATTTTGCTGTTGTACTCTAGTTCTCACTTTCTCCATTTTTCCTCCTTTTCTCTGATTTCCCCTCTCTTCTCCATTTTTCCTCCTTTTATCCATTTTCTTCCTTTTATTAATTTTTCCTTTTATCCATTTTTCCTCTTCTGTGACTCTCCTTTCCTCCCTTTCCCTAATTTTCCTCGTCTACTTTTCCTCCTTTTCTCCAACTTTCCTCCCTTTCTCCCGTTTTCCTTTTGCCTAATTTTCCTCCCTTCCTCCAATTTTCCTCCCTTCCTCCAACTTTCCTCCTTCAACTCCCTTTCCCTCCATTTCCCTTCCCTTCTCCAGTTTTCCTCCTTTCCCCCGATCTTCCCTCTTTTCTCCAACTTTACCGCCTCGCTCTAATTTTGCCCCCTTGCCCCGATTTGCCCTCAGGGACGCAGCCCCCGGTACCTGCAGATGGCCGACTGGCTGTAGGCAGGTCCCTCCGTGGCCGTCAGGGCCTGTCCCACCTGCGTCTGCGTCAGGCCGAGGGACAAGCGTCGGATCTTGAAGTTCTTGGCAAATTCCCGGATCTCCTCCAGGTTAATCCCATCCTCCTCCCCGCTGCTGTTGGGAGCCGGGGGCTCTGCCGGCGGAGGGGTGTGGGGGCTGCCGTGAAGCGGCCGTGGAGCCGCCCCTCTCCCCCCACAGCCCCCGTAAGGAGCGAGCCCTTCGTTAGGCTCCATAATGAACTCTGCGTGCCAGCGGTCATCCCCCAGGACCAAGGATGCAATCCTCTCCCCATCCCGGGGGGATTTGAGCTCCCGGCATCCCCCAGTTTCACACCCCCCCCCCCCCCCCCAGTATCTCCAGCATCCTCTCCCCACCCCAGGGCACCCCAGGCCCCCGTATCCCGCTCCTCGGGCGATCCCAGTCCCCCGTGTCTCCCGCTGTGACTCACTGGAGACCAGCTGGCTGACGGTGGGGGTCTCTGAGCAGGTGATGGGGACGGGCGCTGAGGAAGCCTTCGCCGCCGGGGCAGGGCTCGCCATCACCACGGCTGGCTGGGAGAGAGCCGGGGCCGGCTGGATCGGCTGGACCTGGGGCAGAGGGGAGGGTCAGCACCCCCAGAGCAGGGGCTCCCCCTCTCCCAGCGCCACGGCCGCGCCGCTCCCCGCCCACCGGCTCCAGCCGCACGCTCGCAGGAGAGCGGCCACTGCATTGCTTGTGCTGACAGTGGGGGAGACAAGCTGGGACGGAGAGGGGACGCTGGAGACCACCCAGCTCCACGCTGGGAACGGGGCCACGACAATTCTGTACCGGGTTTGGGGCGTCCCACCACGTACACTTGGGGTCAACCAGCACCTCTGCTCGTGCTCGAGCTCCGTCACGTCCATCCCAGCTGGGAAATCTGGTGGGCACGGAGGGCAGGATGCCCCATGGGGCAGCTCTGCGGGGCAGGGGGGGACGCATCCCAAAGATGCTGAGGGGCTCCCAAAGCAACGTGTCTGGGTCCCAAAGACGCTCTCGTGCCTCCAGAGCAAAGTGGCCAGGTTCCAGAAATGCTCATGTCCCCCCAAAGCAATGTGGCCGGGTCCTGGAGCAACATGGCTGGGTCCCAAAGATGCTTACATCCTTCCAAAACAACACGGCCGGGTCCCAAAGCAACCGCCACGTCCCAAGGATCCGCACACGCTTCCAGAGCAACATGGGCACATCCCAAAGCCACGCAGCCAGGTCTCAAAGACGCTCACGTCCTCCCAAAGCAATGTGACCACATCTCAAAGGTGCTCACATGCTCCCAAAGCCACGCGTCTGGGTCCCAGGGATGCTCGGGGTCTCCCAAAGCAGCATGGCCGGGTCCCAGAGCCACGCAGCTGGGTCCCAAAGACGCTCCCCGCGCTTCAGAAGCAACGTGGCTGCATCCCAAAGGTGCTGACGTGCTCCCAAAGCACCGGGGCCGGGTCCCAAAGCAGGGCAGCTGTGCCCCGAAGATGCTCCCGTGCTCCCACGGGCGCACAGCCGGGGAGGCTGCCAGCCCTTCGGCCGGGCGGCCGTCAGCCCCGTGCCCGTCGCTCACCTCGCTCTTGGCCGGGGGCTCGGGGGTGCCGGTTTTCTTGATGGCGGCCGCCTGGATGGCGCTGCCGGCCAGCGTGGCGATGACCTGGCCCTGGGCATTGAGCAGCAGCTGGGGCGTCACCGTCTGGACCTGCAGGTTCTGGGCCGGCAGAGCGGCCGGGGCAGGGCTGGCTGCCGCCATCCCGGGGGGGTTCACCACCCACGGCAGGGTCCCGATCACCTGGGCGGAGGGAGGAGAGCCAGGGCTGGGGGGGGGCTGCATCCTGCAAACACCCTTCCCCGGGGTGCGGGGAACACTGCCCGTGTCCGTCCCCTCCTTCCCCGGGAGAACCAGCCCCGGGGCGGGTTTGCAGGGGCAGGGCCCTCTCCCCAGCGGTACCTGGCCCTGGGCGTTGGTCAGGATCTGGCCCGTGATGCCCTGCACGCTGGAGATGGTGTTTGCGATCACGGGGGCGGCTGCCAAGGAGCCGAGGAGCTGGGTTTGGCCCCCGAGGGAAGCCGCGCTGATCTGCAGAGAACCAGAAGCCGGGGGTCAGAGACGTGGGCGGCACCCCAGGCCACCGTGTCCCCCCACGCAGAGCCGGCCACCCCCTTCCCCATGGCAGGGCGACTCCTGCCTCGCCACCGCGATGGGAT